ACGCCGACATATACACAGTAAATCGCATTTTGGTCCTCACGATACAGGCTATGCCTAGTGTGAGGATCATTGGTTAATTTTATATTGTTGATGCCATCTGCGTAATCTGTGAATTTATAAAATATGTAAATAGTATTCTATGTCATGATTTAAGAGTTTATCTAGTAAATAAATAATTTATTATTATATTATTATTATTGAACGGTATACGTTAACTGTTTAAAGTTTTTGCTCGCTAAAAATAATCTCTTTCCTACAACCGGTTATAATAAAAAGCATATTTACAAAACTCGCGTCCATAAACCAAGAGTTGTCGTGATATTTTACAGCATGCGGAACATTGAATACGCTACGTTATTACGTCTAACTGAAAACGATAACAAAATACCTACGGATCATTGATTCCAACTACTAAATAGTAGTCGGATACGATCGGAATATCTTACATTCCCAAGACCCCGGGCTGGCTGAGGCTACAAAGTTTTTATTGTTTAATACAAACGAAGGTTTTATTCGATGTTGTAAACACAAAATTGCATTTCGTATTTACGTATTTTCATAGCTCCAAGCTTTTATTGCGGTTGAAAGCCACAGCATTATTTCATTGTGAATAAGTTAGGTGATGAGTTCACGAGTGCTCACGATTGACAGTCTGTTTGTATTGGCTTTGTTAATAGTCTTGGTGATATTTGCTCCTATTAAAAAACGACGTATTTTTTTTCTATCAACGATTTTTAGTCTTGTTACGAAATAGTTTCTTCTACTGTACCTATTAATAGTTCATTGCATAGTTTGAAGTCTTCTTGAATATCTGTAATGGTTTAGAGTTATTTATAGTTTCTTTGGTTATCGGGAGACGCGACATAATTGAAACCATATTATTGTTAATGCATTATACCCAAGTACTAACAGTTTATTGCATACTTTGAAGTCTTCTTGAATACCTGTAAAGGGTTAGAGTTATTTATATGTTCTTTGGTGATCGGGAGAAGCGACATAATTGAAACCATATTATTGATAATGCGTTATTCTCAACAACCACGACGACCGGAAAAAAATATACCTAACATTGGAAACGTACGAAATAACTTAATGCAAATACCAAGCGACGGATCACCCGAAATTTACATATAAAATACAATAAACAACAAAATATTATTACATATTTCGGAAAATCAGAAACTAGATACACATTCACAACATCAACAACACATTCAAAAGTAATCCATTCGTCCACTACCAAATTTACCAGGCCCAAGTTACTAAATTTTCACTGTATATTTATTTCTGTTTACGGCTCGCCCTCCACAGCTGGGCCCTCGTTATTTCTCGCATTCAATGTTCCAGAATGTTCACCAGTTTCCAGTTCACGATTTTGCTTTCAATACACATGCATCGTCTGATTTTATGCGGAGTTTCAGCCAGCAATCTGTTGCGAATCACTTTTAATATAAAACTATTTTCGTTTCGAATACTACCTAGCTAAAATGCCATTCCGATTTTTTAACGGTAACATTTTATTTTTAACATCCCAGTACAGGTACATGTTCTTGTTTTTATTTAAGTTACTACAGCTACCGTTAATATCAATAACAATATATACATTTTTTTTTTCTTGCTTAGATGGGTGGACTAGCTCACAGCCCACCTGGTGTTAACTGGTTACTGGAGCCCATAGACATCTACAACGTAAATGCGCCACCCACCTTGTGATATAAGTTCTAAGGTCTCAGTATAGTTACAACGGCTGCCCCACCCTTCAAACCGAAACGCATTACTGCTTCACGGCAGAAATAGGCGGGGCGGTGGTACCTACCCGTGCGGACTCACAAGAGGTCCTACCACCAGTAGTAATACTATTTAATAAATGAATTTATAATCATTTTTAAGCTTGTTCTTCGAGATGATTATTTTAACCGTAGATTTAATGTCTTAGGATAAGTTATCTATATAGATTTTCTCAAATAAACAATAATAATATTAATAAACCCTTTAATACGGGGCTCTTGTTTCAATTCTATATTTTTATTATGATTGCCCTAAGTGCAGTGATCTTAAGAAGTACGGAACTCTTCGAATGATTTCGATTACTCTAAACCCTACCTTACAACTCTCCTGTACTAACTTTCTGTAAGTGTTCGTAGCCAACTTTTTTGTTAATTCCCTCTTTTCCTTTTACCATTTCTAGGATATTGATTCATTTCACGCTTCCCCCCATAGGTTTGGGAAGTAAAACATAACTATACGAAACGACCGTGCTCCCCAAAAATATGTACACAGCAAAAGGTAATAAGGATATTTATTTACATTTATACAAAAGGCATTTACAACCAGTATCACCAGGGTATTATAGGTACCATTAAAATACATATAAGCCTACGCAGAAAAAACTAATTCAACACTACCAAATTCTAATGTAAACAAGAAAAGAATTTCCACAAGGGGAAAACGTGCGTCGCTGTATGGCTCGGAGAGTTTTAATAACAGGTGTGTGGAGCGCACAAAGCAGGACAGGGCATTGTCTGTGCCTCATTCAAATCACAAACGAACGACTCATTCCGTACCGCCGCGGGCTGGGACCGCCAAAAATATTTGAACTAGGTTCGTTGTCGCCCGCAATGAACTGCACAGACTATAAATGATGTCTTTGTTCGATTTTCAAGTCCATAATTAAAACACAATTTACTTACAACTCTATTACTTAATTAAAATGACTTTTACGGTTTGGTCCCTCGTACTGTACAGTACCTATTAGTTAGTGGTAACGGACCGTGACCATATAGTTTAGGAAACTCGGAAGTAATAGAATGACAATAAATAACGCGACATTAAACCGTACGAGTCGGTTTAATTATGTCTACGGCTCGCGAAATGAAAGAAAATACTAAGTCATTTAGTCTTAGGGTAAGGTACGTGTAATCTAAGTCACCCTCGCCTTTTTTAAAGATTATAAGAGATCTTATAGATATTTTATTTTACATTTAGCATTACAGTAGATATATTAAAACTTAAAAAGAATGAAGTATGTATTGATCCTATTAAAATCGTAATAATACGTTCCAATGTAAAAACATAAAATCAAAAATATATACGATACATGTAAGAGTAGTAGTTTTAAACCACAATTACACATGTAATATGTATAGAGATTGTGTCTTCATATAATATAGGCTGAGCATGCGAACTCGTCCACCCGCCATGAAGAAACGGAAAAGACGAAGTCCCTATCTTAAAAATTTTTAATTTATAGTCAAGATAAGTAAGTTACGAGAATTTTCTGTAATTCATTAGAATGTAGATTAATTTCAAAATCAGATTATATTGATCAAATGAGAAGATTAAATTGGCAAACAAATCTTTTTCATAAAAATACACGTACTCATTATTTTACTTAGGTACCTACACATACCTCCATTATTGTTCTTGAGTCGAGCCTCAAACGAAAAGAGCTTTATTTATGCCCCGACAGAATCCGCATTATCTCATTTTAATGACAACCATTTTCCGAGACGGAAAATCGCTTACAAAGAAGTGCGATGGAATCGCTTAACGAGACGCGTGTAAAAAGATAAGTAAACAAATAAGCGAATAATACGGTTAGAATAGTCACTCGGATTCGCTTGGAACACTGAAAGCGTTTAATAATGAGAATGCTATAAACGCGGCCATTTCTTTTTATTCCGCCTCCTTGGCCTTTGTTTCGAGCGCTGTAATACCCAACCAACCCAAGAGCAGGCTATTTGCACGTTATTTTATTTTCAGCTAACTTTCAAGACAGGAAATTTAAGGTTGAATACCCCATTTTTCTGACAGAAACTTGGCAATACCCACTCGAAAATTTTCGGCAAAAATAAATACAAACAAATCTCTGATAAATGTTTGGCTGGTATTTTATATGGAAAGCGCGTGAACTCAATAAGGTGTTGATGTAAAGAAATGGAGAAAACTTCTTATTCGTGTGCTTCGAGACTTATTGTGAACAAAATGAACTACTGTAATTTCATTACTTTTCAGCCGCGATTTGTTTTTAAAAGTAAATAAGTTTTGTTTTCCTTCCGACACCACTGCTAGCATCTCGTCCAGAATTAGGTTCGGTAACTCCATTCCCGCCATCAAAATCTTTGTACAGCCCATTCTGTTGGCTTCGTTGTCGTACCTAGGAGTCACCCTTGACAGAAGGATGACAGATCAATAGTGTCGTATACTGTGTATCGTGTCCCTGCGGGTCAATTGATTTATACATGTTGTTGAATGGAAATCTAATTTTTTTTTCTCCTACCTAAGCTGGTAGCCTTGAGAGGCTATGCCAGCGTTACCGAGCAAGTAGTTGTGAGCTCATAGGGCTCTAACCTGAGGACATTACTAACACTAGGCCGAACAAGAGCAGTGCTTCGCAGAATCTACCACCGAATCGGAAACGCGACCCACTGAGAAAATTCGGCATAAAACTCAGTGGGCTGTGTCTGTGTGTTAATTTACTCGCCAAACTCTTCGTCGCAAGACGGGTTCAACGAGAGCGATGACCGGTGCTTGAGGTACCTAAAAGCACCGTTAGTGGATCGGGAGGATCCGAAATGACGTGTTTGGGGCGACGTCGACTGCTTCCCATTCTGTCCGCAGGGTCGGAAACGAAATCGCAATGGACCAGGGTATTATTTATTATTTATGCAATGGACCATAATACAGGAAAGGATCCAAGTATCGATACCATTGATTCGATTCGATACGATTCTTTGCGTAGCTCCAGTATCGGATCAAGTGTTTTTTTTTATAAATGAAACAAGTTTTTAATAGAATTAAAATACAATTTCTTTATAGTGTAATTTACTCGCCAAACCCTTCGTCGCAAGCAATGGGTTCAACGAGAACGATGACCGGTGCTTGAGGTTAGTATATCGAGACGATCCGAAATGACATGGATTATCATTAGCACATAATATGCGACTTTTAGCCGTGTAACCATCTTTCTTTGGTTGCTGAGAAGCGTTGAAAATAAGAGTCAACGGACCTTCTGAGATAGAAAGAAAGTCAAGGATGCTTAGTCACGATAGACCAATAAATCTTATCAACTGAATTTTATTAACGGTGATGAAAATAAATAGTAACTTTGTATGAAAATAATTTATTTACAATGTTGAGTACATCTGATTGATTGAATGAAGATAACCCGAAGAGGTGATAAGACTCAACAATGTTATTGTTAAGCTTTCATTTTCTGCAATCCGACCTCTTAGCTTCGCTAACAGAGCACACTCATTTCTTGCAAATTCTAAATATTTGTAGTGTGGCAAATAAAAATAAATCCAACAAGCAAACATAATATATCATTTAGTACAAGATTAAATCATACCAACAAAAGCGAATAAAATTCAACTTAATTTATAAATTATTATTTCACTAAAAATGTACTTTAACATTCAACACAATTATCCTAATATTAATGAGAGCAAACTCACTAAAGAAATCTTTCCCTGTCCCCAATAAATTCATTAAGATGACAATATAATATCGACGGATGGCTGTAATAATTTTAAACATTAATCCATTCACCCATTTCAGGTAAATTAACAACTTTGCAAATTATTCATTATAGTTATTATCTTGTAATTTTCCCATCAGTCAACAAAATCCTAGCTTGGACTTGGAGTTCAAAGCACTAATGTAACGATGATGTTAATACTTTTCATTAACACAAACAATGAACAGGATTTCAGAAATGTGCACCTGTTACTCGTTGTCTTCAAGAATGCATAGTGCTATCACAAAGTCGTTCTGATGAAATCAGATTTAACTTTTATCAATCAATCACCATGTATCTTCAAGGGATCTGTGAATTGTGCCGTCACAATATAAAACATAGCCGGAGCGGGCACTAACGACAAATACCATAATTCTTTAAAACCCGTTAGTGATAATATGCCATATGCATGGACCAACCAGTGTCCAAAGAGAATAATTAAATTCCGTGTATTAGTGATAGAAGAAATCAATAGTGCTGGCGCAGACTGTTCTGATTTAATTGAGAAATGCGATGCTGATGTCATCATTGATATTATTATTACTATGTAGGGGAATGAGCAATCTGAAAAAATAAAACATGTATATATAATAATTTTGAAATCATTAAGAACGTTAATATACTCTGTGTATTCATACCAAACTACTCGACTGTGGCAGTGCTCTTTAATCCCACCGGTAGTACCAGTTTTTAATATAATTTCGTCTTTTGGCATTAAAAGCGTACAATTCCCAAAAATATTCGAAATTCAGTTAATATAACCAGTATTTTTCTTATAAATACTGTCAAAAGAGCGTAGTTTAGTATTAGTTTTTTTTACCTACATTTTGACTATTATTAACAAAATTAATACATAATTTTATCTTACTTTAAAAGACAGATAATGTAACTGGTAATAAATAAAAAATAAATGTTGCAAAGATGATTAATATTAAAAATATCACATGTTAAACCTTTAAAACACTGTAAAATTATAAAGTTTTGAGATTATAGTTTTAATGTGAGAAGACGATTTGTTCTTAACTAATGTTCACGTATGACTTCCACAGTAAACGAAAAATAACATGTTATAAAAAATTCTGAATTTGCATAATTACTACATTTATGAGACCTCAAGTGGCTCTGGTAATCGCTTAACACTAGCTTTTCCATGAGCTTGTTCAACTATCTGAGGAATAAAAACAATAAAGCTATAATTTAATAAATAATAATATCTTTATAAGTATTTTTCTTTAAAAGCAACATTTAATGTTAAAATTAAAGTTTAGCATTATATACTGGAAAAATATCATTCATATGAGTAAATTCATCTTCGAGACCTACCGTAATATAATATTTATAATTTGAAATATTATAAGTGATATATTATAAAAATAAGTACATAGTTTTATATTATATGTCCACAGTATAAATTTATATTGGGGGCAAAAACAATATTCATGAAACACACAAAAAATGAATAGGATTTGTCTTTTAAAAAACAAAAGTGACAGGGTGAAAAAAGGCTCAAAAGCACTTTGATCAGACCAAGACTTCTAAATGGTGCATTAAGAAAATGTGTACTCACAAATTAAACCAGCAGCAACAGTATGGATCAATACAAGTATAGGATGAAAATATAAAGCACAATATATTGCCTTTTTACCAGAATTGGGTGCATTCCAGGCCAGTAACCATGGTCTTAATGTTATGGTCATTAATAAGCTGAATGCATAAATCAGAAAAACTATTGTGTATCTGAAACAAAACAAAAAAAATTTATATCTTTTAATTTCAAAATCTTGTATGGCAATTAAATTTGCACAACAGGAAGTGAAGGAAATGACACAAAATCCAGCCACGACAATGAAATAAACAAGTTTCAGCAACAGAAATGGTAATTATTAATAAAAATACAACATGTGACAATCCCACCTTATTTTACTCAATTTTGATATTGATAATCAACTCACAAATTAATTTACAAGTTTAATGATGGACAGATAAGGATGACAGCAAGTAATTGACAATTAAATTAAGAAGTAGATCAACAACACTAATAACACAATATTGCTAACATATACCAAGTAATCCAAATGTGTCAGACCAAATGACTGCCAGTCAAAATAATCACAGTCCCCAAATCACCACACTTTTATAAGTTTATTCGTGCTATAGTGCTTTGGCAAAGTGAGGGAACATCTAATAGAAGTTAAACTTATAAATGATTACATGTTGGTTAAATAAATTGGCTAACTGCTCTGAAATTTTTTTGGAACTTACATTCAAATGAAAAATTAAAATTTTTTCATCTATCTATGAGATAAGCTGAAAGTTTTATTGACTAAACAATATTAAAATTTCAAATTTAATAATTTTTCTACTTACATTACAAGTTGCATCATAGAGTGACTTTGGCTCTACCCCTGGCATTGCTAGCGTCCATGAACAACGGTAATCACTCATCATCAGGTAGACTATATGCTCGTCAGCCTACAAGGGCAATAAAAGAAATTACTAATAAGAAAAATTTTATACTTACAAAGGATACACTGCTTCCTGAGTACAATGCAACATCTCTTTATAATCTGGCTGTGGATTATGCAACAGTGTATACCAATCCGAAAGTGCTTTTGGTGAACACATATATAGTGAGACTGACCCAGGTGGAGGCAGCACTAACAATGCGGCAAGTGTTCCTGATATGACCTCCAAAAAGGCACACATGTGTTGTATGATAACACCATTCTCGCTGAAATATTAATTTAAAATACATAAGCCAAGAATCTCAAAATATTTTTAGTTCTGTATTATCAAACTTTCTTGTAGAGCTAACAAAATTGTTGATGAGACGAGGAAGGTGATTCAATGAAAATGGAACTATCTTTATTTAAATATTATGATTTACTTTTTCGAAACCATATCTCTCACAATAGGTAAGCACAATGTGACTGTGTCAGTATTCCTATGACATTCTGCTTAGTTTCATAAACCTAGTAAATAGTGAGCCTCAGATTGGCCACTAGAATAGTATTAATTAATCGAGTTTGAAATGTATGTAAGGATGGAACTAAAATAATGAATCGTTTTATTTAAGTAAGAAATACTCACGCTTTACCCCTGGTGACCATGTCAATGAAAAACCAATGCAAAACCATGGGCAGGAGGACCATAAAGCCAAGGTACTGCCAGTCATATAGAGAGGGTTCATCAACGCACGGCATGCAGTAACTTGATGCGTTTGTCCTGAAACCTCGCGGACACGCCCCACAGTCACTCCACGACCCATCTTCGAGTTCAATACGACCACAATACAGTCCTGGACACGATCTTACAGCTGCCATCCTGTAATGGAACAATCTACAGCTGAGCTGTATAGATTGTATTTACTGTTGTATTGTCTAAGTGATATTACTATTTATATTAGTCTCAGAATCTTTTTTTTCAGAATTATTACTTCGTCATAATATCAGAATCATATGTTAGACAGCGTACCTGTGTGAAATATTAATATAAATTTTATAATTCTTTTAATTCCCAAGCTTTTAAAAGTTTTAAATTGCTGATATCTGTACATACATAGTAGTCAATGTCAATGTCATGTTTTTCTTATTTTTTTGCACTGTGGTATGCAAAGAAATAGCAACACATTCTGTGTACGGTACCAAATTGAATAGAGGTGGCATGTGGCTTAGAATAGGAAATATTGGTTTTCGTCGGAAGAGGCTACCACGCTAGCAATTTATTTAATTCAAAGTTTTAATAAATTTTATAATTCAAAGCCTTTAAAAAAATTGTGACTCTTTGAAAATTTATAAATACAATTCCACATCCCCAAAATGGATGTTACCATTGCTAGGATTAAAAAAAGACTTGACCTAAAGGTTTTAGTTACCAGGTCATAAAATCTCTTAAAGAAACCATTTTTAAGCTTATGAAGTTTTTAAGATTAAGTACCGTAGTATGGTACATAGGTTATACACTTAATATTTGTGCCTACTATCATGTCTATTTCTGTCGTCATGCATCCTGACTTAATGAGTGGGACACATGTTTTACAATTTAATAAATCAACCTCGTATCTCCAGGCGAGTGGCGGCTTTCACTTGTATTGTCTATGGGCTCTCAGTACTGAACTCTGTCCTGGCACAATCAGTCAATTCAATCGAATCATGTTTCCAGATGAGCGGTGGCATATACCCCCTAATATCCATCTTTTGTTGGTTTTTAATACATGAAGTTCCTAACTGAAGCTCAGCAATATTAATTATTATTTATTTGCCTATAAAAAATGACACCCTTTTTGGTTCTGAGATAAACCACTCCGGTAGATATTCCGGTACGAAGGGTATGAAACGTGTAGAAAACCAATTTTATTCGATCCTCAAACTTATAGGTATCTCAATATTAAGGTTTGTACCGTAGAACACAAGTACTACTGGTGTAATTAAAAACAAATTTCACAAAATATGTTTAATATCATCGATACAAAATAAACATTTTAATTCGATTTACAAAGCCTTGAATTTTCCTTCTGGTCCTTGACCAGTTCTCAGCACAAATCGTGCTCGCAAACGTCTGTAAATACATTTCAGCACAAGAAAAGTTAAATATAGCAGAAATAGAACGACTGCAAGTATATAAGTAAGAATGTCCAACATGTAATATTTGATGAAGGTAACGCCAACAACTGGTGAACGTAGATGTTGTGCGCCGCGGTTACGAAGAACGTATTCAGTCCACCAGACAGCGTTGTCGGGACCCGAAATCAACGGATCGACAACCATACCTTTAAGCTTAATTATCGCTTTTTTGTACCTGAAAATTTTAAAAGAAGTCAATAAGTAGATACCAAGTTTCCGAATTAAAACTTATTTCAATTTCATACTTACTTTTCATCAGTGGCCACTGTGGATATGACCTGTTTCAATGTTTGTTTGTCAATGTGTAAGGGGTCCAAGATTTCACCAGCGCCGTACTTGGTAAGCTCTCTTATAAATATCTTTCTAGATGTGATAAGAGGAAAACCTATGATTGGTACTTCATAAAATAGTGCTTCTTCCAAAGATCTAGGTCCGCCGTGAGTTATGAATGCCCTTACGTTTTTGTGTGCTGTAAATAGAGAAAAAAATCTATTTAAAAGTTTCAAATAATTATTTGGATTTTGGAGTATTAATGGCATAAAAATGTCACTACTTAAAATAAATGAATATCGAAAAAAAAAGTTAAAATTCATTAATTATCTTAATATTGTCTCATTACCAGTACCTAAATAAAATCTGCAAAAAATAATAATTACNAATGCCCTTACGTTTTTGTGTGCTGTAAATAGAGAAAAAAATCTATTTAAAAGTTTCAAATAATTATTTGGATTTTGGAGTATTAATGGCATAAAAATGTCACTACTTAAAATAAATGAATATCGAAAAAAAAAGTTAAAATTCATTAATTATCTTAATATTGTCTCATTACCAGTACCTAAATAAAATCTGCAAAAAATAATAATTACCCAATAATTGTTGTTGCGGAAACCATACGTCTGTGATAACGTTGTCAGATAGCTTTAACGTGCTCATTTTACCAATCTTCCACAAAACTGTGAAAGGTAATTCTCTAAAAGCATCCGCGAAAACTTGAAGTGTTTTAACAGATAATTTCTCCGCCTCTTGTAGAGTTCCCAAGCTGAAGTAAATTACTCCCTTCGTTTGAGAGTCTAACAATGATTGTAAATTCTAAAACAAAATTTTGCAAGTACATTCATTACTTACATAAAAATATTTCTGCAGCGTTAATGATCTGTAGCTATAGAATACTATCTCTTAATTAAAATCCATATGTTATGAACATCACAAATAATGAACAGTAAAGTCTTATAACAATAAAACTTTATGCATATAAAATATAAGCAATAGGCTGCCTAATCTTATAAAGCAATCTGTTTAAGCATATATTTTTGTCAGAGAAACCATTTTCGACAGAGTTAGCAAAGAACCATTTTGTGACTTGAGTCCAAAGTCATCACCACCTAGAAACCATATCATCTAACACATGAGATACGAGATCTAACGGAAATTGATAACTGCTTCTCCCTTCTTATTCTTGTTCTGTGGGTTCTTGCCCACAACATGCCCTTATGTGCCTGCGGCTGAATATATATAAGGGGTGTGCCTAGGGCACTCAATTTATGTGGCACCCTCCCTCGTCGAAAATGTGGTTATGCAGATGGAAGTCCGTTAGACGAAATCGGGTGATGTAAGTGATCAACTAACTGACTCTCCCATACAGATCGTCCGAGCATGAACCATCAGTCAACAACCCTTCCGAGACAGGTAAGAGAAGTGGCCGCAGTCAATACCTCAACCAGCAGCCACCGCAAGAGCGCCAGACTGACGGAATCGTTATCGAAAACGTCTCCACGTGGCGGCACCGTTGATGTTTGGGGATACCCCTCTAGACCAGATTCAGAGGCAAAACCGTGGTTCTTTATTTTAAACCTAATGAGCTTCGCACGGCCTCGATTTCTCCAGCCACTCCGAATCCGGTTACCGAGAGAGACCGCCATCATAACACCGAACATAACCTAAAACATAACGTTGTAATATATAAAAATAAATACCTGCGGAAGACTCATCCTTGGTTTAATATGCATCCGATCCACAAATTGTATGGCAGGTACAACTGGTCTATTCCCGATTAACAGCGGATTACTGGCAATGAACAACATATCGATGTCATATTCAACTTCTTGTAAATCTCTTTTCAATCCGAGTATCTTTTTGGCGGCAACATCGCATAACGGCAAATAGTTGTTGTAAAACTCTGTTTTCGTTTGTATGTGTCTGTAGAATTCGATAATTTTCTGCCAACGAGTCAAATTACCGTAGTTCAGTGAGTTCACGTCGGGATACAAAATAGGGTGAATGGGATTGCCTTTAGCTTCGTACTGGTGAATTTTTCCATTAAATGTACTTATCGTTATATGTGGAGTCTGGTATTTGTCAGCTAAAGCGTAAAGTAATGGTACATCTGCTTCAGTTATTACCAAGTCGAATTTTACATTAGGATTAATGAGCAGCGCCGTCATTTGCTTGGACTTCAGCTGCGCTATGGCAATCTTTAGTGAGAGCTCGTTCAGTGCTTTAAGCCGAGGATAGTAATCGTCCGTATTGGTCATCAGCCTTTTGTACTCCTCCCAAAACGGTGCTGATTCTTGACTAACATCTAGCTCGATTATGTTTTCTACCTCCGGGTATTGAAACTCACCTGGGTAAGGAGTCATGACTACAACGGAATGTCCTCTTTGAGCGAGAAGAGAAACATAGCCCCGAAATACCAGATGATCTGAATAGGAAAGTGAAGAGAAGACTGCTAATATCGAAGCGCCTTGAGCCGCATAACACGGACACAAAACTAAACTAAAGAAATAAAAAAACTTTAACCACATTGTGGAGAAAACGAACACTACACCAAAAGTGACTAGTTGTGACTGACGTGGAATTCAAAATGATATAATTTTATGAGCAGGGCACGCAGTAGGTACTATGAGCAATAAAAGAAAATTTCACATCTGTACAAACATGTTCAATTTAAAGCCGATTCATTGTAATATAAAAATATTATGGTAGAACTTGGCTAGAATACGTGCATATAGACAAACATTCATTATAATGAGTTGTAATTATTTTCTTCTGACTTGGTAGTAGTTGTTGACATGTCCTTCTTCAAACGAGGCTTGTGGAGAGTATTAAGCGGTAGGCAGCGGCTTGGCTCTGCCCCTGGCATTGCTGAAGTCCATGGGCAACGGTAACCACTCACCATCAGGTGGGCCGTATGCTCGTCTGCCTACAAGGGCAATAAAAAAAAAAAAAAGTTGTACCTGACTGCTGAGCCAATACTCGTGGGTTCGATTCACACATCGGCTACACATTCGTGTGACTGACAGGCTCATTAACTTGAATTATGCTTTTTACCTGGATGTTTTATTCTTTATTTATTTTTTATTTTTTATTAATTTATTATTAGGAATCAGAAGAAAAACCATTTAAAAAAATAACAATCAGCACAAGTTTACAGAAATGTTTGAAGAACTACAGAATTTACAGAATTGTTTACAAAGCAATGACTCACGCACACCATGTCCACGACTACCTTCTCTCACGAACGCCGCCGATCGAATGAATGTTTCGAGCAAAGGCGTTGCTATTTATAGGCACTGTACCCTCAACATTATTATAAAATTCGTGTTTCCTAAATTAACACTTAAAGTCTTTGAACGATGTTCTCTCGACGAATGTCAACCGACAAATGAGCGGGTGACGGAGCTGCGCGCCGGTTTTATACCCTTTTTGTAGGGTATTCCTTACACGGCCTCTCCTGACTGTGGTTCGTCCTCGACCACATAACTGGGGTCTACTCGTAACGATGATGCGGAAGCGTGCGAAAGATCTTGTTAGGTTCGCGCCTCCCGAAAGTTCAGCAGGGCAGCCGTCCCAGCTCCAGTCTGCAACCACGATGTGAGGCTGCACCACGTGTGGCGGGCGTCCCGCTCGACCATCCTGATAGATAATCCTGAAAATGCAGGCAGAGCGCATAAGTAGCTCAGCAGGACTGCAAACGAACTACTCCTTACTCGTGACTCCCTGCGTCGAGCTTAGTGGCCCAAAGGCATCATAGTCCCCAACGAGTGAAGCAGCAGGCCGCAGATCGAGCGACATCGCCCTCTGCGTCACTGCCAGTCGTATGGCACCGTGAAGTCGGCGGCTCGCGAGCATCACGTGCAGTGTGCACATAAGCAGCACGTGCGGTATGCACGCCAGAAATAGATGAGCGCGCGCAGGCAGCAGCACGCGAGCAGTGCGCGCAGTCTGCACGCCAGAAGTGAGAGAGCGCACGCAGCCAGCGGCACGCGAGCAGTGCGCGCAGTCTGCACGCCAGAAGTAGGTGAGCGCGCGCATGCAGCGGCACGCGAGCAACACGTGCAGTATGCACGTCTGAAGCAGGCGAGCGCCCGCAGGTAGCGGCACGCGAGCAGTGCGCGCAGCCAGCGGTACGCGAGCAGTGCGCGCAGTATGCGCGCCAGAAGTAGATGAGCGCGCGCAGCCAGCGGCACGCGAGCAGTGCGCGCAGTATGCACGTCTGAAGCAGGTGAGCGCGCGCAGGTAGCGGCACGAGAGCAGTACGCGCAGTATGCACGTCTGAAGCAGGTGAGCGCGTACAGGCAGCGGCACGCGAGCAGCACGCGCAGTAGCACAATCATCCTTAATGCGCATATTCCTGTTAGTATCCAAGGGCCAGTGTGCGTCGCCCTTCGTTAAGTGTCTTCTGCATTTGGTTACCAGTGATCCCTGTAAAATGGTCCCAGACCCACTCGTACGAAGATCGTATTAAAAACGTACGAGTGCATTCCACACGCAGAGTTTATTCAAACGTGTGAAGCTTCCCGACACGCCGACCATACTCAAACGTGCCGAGGCTTCTCAATACGCCAGCCTAGGCCAATCGTATTGAGGCATCTCACCGTGACTCCGAGTGAGGGATACGTAACTAGAGAGCAATCATCTATAGCTCACCCTTCAGGTTCACCATAGGAATACGTATATTTGTGAACAATGATCATTATTAACTTTACTGACTCTCAAAGAAGGCAGCACATGTCTCAGGGGTCCACTCGCCCCGCCACGACACCATATATTGTGCAGCTGCTTGCGTAGCTTTGCCATAACTGCCGCTGAGCAGCCGTAGGGTATAGCGTCCACTGGGTAGAATTTTGACAACCTTATACGGGCCACGCATGCCGGAATCAAGTTTACCTGCCGACTGATATTACGCAGCTACCGGCACATCGCTTGCGTGCTACTGTCGCAGGAACCATCGAGGGGCCCGAGCTGGCGGCAATGCCCGTGAGGCACCATCCTCACCATTCGGTAAGGTCCACGGATTGCCGGATCTAGATTTCCTGTAGACTGTGAGTTATTACCAAAACAAGATTATCGACATTAAAAACGGCTGCTGCTCGTCGGTGCCCGTCCACGCGAGCATCATGTCGCTTTTCACTCCGTGGTACCAATTGATGAGCTCTACCTCGACCTAGTTCTGGACGAACTTAACGGCTCCGAAACACCTCAGTCGTGACATCACTAATTAGCGTCCTCACCACAAGTGTGGTGGCGTCTTTTGTACCAGAAGCTGCAGGGCGGATGTCTGTTGTCTTGCGTTTTGTGATGGTCAGAATGAGCTGTAATCTCAAAAGTTTAATTGACCATTTTGCCAACACAGTCCCGTCTACTTGTTTGATATTACGCGTCACTGGTGACAACAAATGCCTGAAACCTACAAGGACTCGGCCTAGCCTGAGACCTCCACCAAAAATGAAATCAAATCGCTAATCTGAGGGCCCATTATGCCAAGTATCACTATTAAAGTTTTATCAAAGCACTGGCGAGGGTAGACGCCTCAGAACCAGGGATACTAGATTCTACGTGGCCTTGTTGCGAACCGACGATATTCGACATGGGAGTCGTAACTGTCCGTAGAATATCGGTGGTCTGTTCAGCGTGCGCCTTATCGTTAGAACGTGTCGCGACAGGTTCTATCGTGCGCGAGCGCATCGTTCTTATCGCGATTCTGTCTATCATCTTTGTGATCGCGAAAGCATAATATCGTTTTCGATTACGAGAATAATCTCGAGACGGTCGCCTCCGTGTACTAGGAGTTTCAGTATGTCTCAGTATCACAGTTAAAATTTGCAATCACACAAGAAAAATAACAAATAAAGTATGAAAGCATCAAAGTAAGCAGTCTTTGTAAAACAAAACAAAGTTCAGAGTTTTACGCTACTGTGGGCTATTTGAGTCCTTTATCCCACTTCTGATATTAGGAATCAGAAGAAAAACCATTTAAAAAAATAACAATCAGCACAAGTTTACAGAAATGTTTGAAGAACTACAGAATTTACAGAATTGTTTACAAAGCAATGACTCACGCACACCATGTCCACGACTACCTTCTCTCACGAACGCCGCCGATCGAATGAATGTTTCGAGCAAAGGCGTTGCTATTTATAGGCACTGTACCCTCAACATTATTATAAAATTCGTGTTTCCTAAATTAACACTTAAAGTCTTTGAACGATGTTCTCTCGACGAATGTCAACCGACAAATGAGCGGGTGACGGAGCTGCGCGCCGGTTTTATACCCTTTTTGTAGGGTATTCCTTACATTATATATATATCTTAACAGTCTGTGGTTCATAAAGTAAAGGGAATTCTAGTGCGTGCCAAATTAACCGTTGTGATTTGGGCCAAAAAAAAAAATGGACTCAACTGGGAGAACATTTTTTTTGTATCAGAAAGCGCTACAGCATTTTAAAGCGCTGAACGTACGCTGTTTTAGATAGTCTATAATCTTGCGAAACGAGATGCTTCGTTGGAAGTACCTACCTTCGTAACATAGAATTTGCAACGTCGACAATTTTCTTTACTGTTTTTTAGTAGCTTAAGTGGAACAACGAGTATAAACAACTACGACACGGCATTTACGATACAATTCGATCATATTCAATTATGACAAAACACTTTTCTTCTTGTTTTTATTTGCAATATTTATGTTTTTACGAGTTCAAATGTGGAGTTACACTTAGTGGCTCGGACTACCGCGTACATGAGTAATTTTTTTTTAATTCAGTCCATTAGAGATGCAAAAATGGCACATAAAAAAATTTAAAGAAATGTAGATAAATCCAGCGTTTCAGAGCTACTCAACTTTTCTAAAAAAATTATTATAATATTTTTCTAGTGCACATGTGAACGTTCCTTAATCGTCATAGCAACCAGTCGCCAACAATACTGTGTTGATTATAAAATATGTTATTGTAATATTAAAGTTTTGTAGGTAAAACTTAGGGATTATAATCTGTTTTAATGTTATATTAGATTCCATAAATAGTTTCTAAGATGGATTATGATGTTAATAATTATACAGTCGTTGGTCGAATCGGTGAAGGAGCCCACGGGCTTGTTTTCAAAGCCAAACACAACACAACAGGTCGCGAGGTGGCCTTAAAGAAAATTCTGATAAAGAATCTTGAAGATGGAATACCGGTCCATGTCATGAGAGAGATCAAGGCTTTACAACTACTAAGATGTAAATACGTCAGTACTTGTTTAAATTCACTGTAATTTAAATCCAATCCTTTCGTCCTAAAAAATACCGTTACAAAAAAAAGACCGTCAAAAAGCTCAAATTACTTATCTAATTGCAGGAAATTGTATTGTATTTTATTTAAAGTAAATATATGAAAACGATACAGATCCCTTTTTTTTCCTACCTAAGCTGATAGCCCTGAGAGGCTATATCAGCGTCGCTTTAACTAGTAGGTGAGCTCACGGGGTTCAAACGTGATGACGTTGCTAACACGAACCCTAGCAAGAGCCGTGCTTCGCAGAATCTACCACCGGATCGGAAACGCGACCCACTGAGAAGATCCAGCGAGAAACTCAGTGGGCTGTGTCTGAGGGTTAATTTACTCGTCGAGCCTTTCGTCGCAAGCGACGGGTTCGACGAGAACGATGACCAGTGTTTGAGGTACCTAAAAGCACCGTTAGTGGATCGGGAGGATCCGAAATGACGTGTTTGGGGCGAGGTCAACTGCTTTCCATTCTGTCCGCAGGATCGGGCATGTAGTTACCGGCGGCCACGATGAGAGGATTCTCGTGTCGTGCCGCTTTATCCAAGTGGACAGATCCCACAGTTAAGGCGGCGTTTGGTGTGATTTTTAAACAGAAAGGATTGCCATTTCACAGTTCGAAAAAATAACACCGTAACAAAACTGCACAGTGATTGATTTATCTTTTTTCTAATTTCAGATTATTAAACTATACGATATGTTCCCGCGCGGCATGAGTCTTGTTCTCGTGCTAGAATATATGTACTCCGGATTATGGGAAATGTTGCACCAATGCGAGCATGAACTGACAATAGCTAGAGTCAAAACTTATGCAAAAATGTTATTAAAGGGAATGCGTTACATGCATGCTCATTACGTCATGCATAGGGTATAGTATATCATTATAATTAGTACTTTCTAGAATAATCCAGAGCATTTCAATTATTCATTTAAATGTTAATTCAAAATATAATTTCAAAGATATTCGTAAAAATGTATAGCTTTTATTGTTTTTAAGGATCTGAAACCAGCAAACCTGTTAATAAATCATGAGGGAATATTGAAAATAGCAGATCTAGGATTAGCGCGACTATACTGGCCTGAGGGTGGTAGGCCCTATTCACATCAAGTGGCCACAAGGTTAATACGCACTATATTATTTAATTACACAATCAAAGAAGCCACGTCCGCATCGTTTCTTTTTTTGTCAGGAGGAAATCACCGGACTTCCGCCCTCCACTGGGGATTGAGGGCGGGGCATGTCGGAGTTGAACCGACTAAAATCTCCTTTTGCTCAACAACCAGCATCCAAACCTCGCATGAGACAGAACTCATGAAAAGGTAAAGGGGAGAAAGTGAAGCGCTTAGTGCGAAGCACATCTCTCCCATCACCCTCCCCCTCGGGACGCCGGACCGGCGGTCGTCGGCGCCACGACCACCAGCCCTCTTGGTCGGCGTCCCCGTCGTTTAGTGAATTTTCAAATTATAAAATAATCGTATCGTTGGCATTGTTTATGGACTGAGAATTCCATAGCTTCGTATATAACTTTACTTTAAACTTCACTAACTTACAGGTGGTATCGTGCTCCGGAATTGTTGTATGGAGCACGCTATTACTCTGAAAAAATAGACCTGTGGTCAGTTGGATGCATAATTGCCGAAATGATTACAAAGAAACCACTATTTGCTGTGAGTAATCTAGTATTCGTATTTTTAGTATTTCATTAAAACAATTATTATCGATGTTATAATCACTATTTTCAAAAGGGATCTTAATAGGATTTTTGGTCTACACGTTATCATTGCGGCTGCAACAGCGCCTAAATATCAAGAACTCTAATACCTACTAAAAATCATCGAAATTAATAATTACTAATCCAAACAAATTTAGAAATTTATATTTTATTTTGATATCAAATAAATTAATCCGAATCATTTTTTTTTTTTTTTTTGCATCAAATATCGGTAAGGCCTGGGCATTAGCCACCGACTAAGCTGTTCCTGACATTGCCAATATCCATAAGTATCTAATTATCTGGCTTCGTGGTAAAGCTTTCAAAGGATTAGATGGTACAAACACACAGCGCCACACGCAAAGGGATTTCCGCCAATATACTTCCAATATACACCAATATTCTTCTATATTTTTCAATGTTGGATACCTAATATTTTTTATTTGTTTTAGGGAGAATCGGACATTGAACAACTAGCAATTGTACTTCAGCACCTTGGAACGCCCACAGAAGAAACATGGCCCGGTCACTCGCAACTACCGGACTTCCATAAAATATCTTTCCCTGAATCTGCTCCGACGCCATGGATTGACCTTTTGCCAGGCGTGGAGCCAGACGCAATTCATCTAATAAAATCATTTATTTTANTTTATTTGTTTTAGGGAGAATCGGACATTGAACAACTAGCAATTGTACTTCAGCACCTTGGAACGCCCACAGAAGAAACATGGCCCGGTCACTCGCAACTACCGGACTTCCATAAAATATCTTTCCCTGAATCTGCTCCGACGCCATGGATTGACCTTTTGCCAGGCGTGGAGCCAGACGCAATTCATCTAATAAAATCTTTTATTTTATATGATGCTGACAGAAGAATGTCAGCGAAACAAGTAAGATTAATTTATACATTGTTGTACTTTATTGAGCCATTTTATCAGGCACCTTAATACATACCTGTAGCGTATAACCTAAAATTATTATTTTTTCTAGTGAAAGCTTCTTTAGCATTGCTATCATTTAAATGTCAATCAAACGAGAAAGTGACAATAAAAAAAGGCAAACTTAAACGTCTATATTTAGGACTCAGCCTTCTTTGACATATAATTCAACTCATTTATGTTCATCTCACGCCTATTCCAGACATCCCACTGTCATCAGTAATCAGACGACCATAATGGATCATGAAGACTGATATTCAATAACTATCGAGAAAGATCGTGAAAACTGTAACACACCTCGTGACGTAAATTGTATAGTTTAGTTGTCCTATCAAAGAAAAACGTTTCATTACTTTCATTTTATTCATTTATAGTAGCTGTTTTGTCAAATGAAATGATCGCGTATACCACGCAGAATAATCACCCTTTTCATTTCCAGGCTTTAAGACACCAGTGGTTCCAAAAAAATCCTCTACCGGCCTCGTTAGAAGAAATGCCAAAGCCAAAACCAAAGTAGATGTTATATTGAAATTATAAAAACCAAAATGTAATGAAATATTTATTTTTTTAATACATCATTTATGATTTAAATTACAATCATATTTTCGTTTATCCATTACCGAATTGTACTCTTTTAAAAACTATACACCTATAAGTCAAAAATTTATTATTTGCATTTCCATTGAACTCGTTGCGCTTAAATTAAATTATAACATTTAAACTCGTTGGGAATAAACCATCGTATTTATTCGTCGCATAAGGCAACAATTTGAGCGCAAAGTATTGTGCTAACAGCATAAAAAACAAAGTAACAAATATTTTACTAAAAGCGTTGTTAGATACAACGGCGGTGTTAAGTCTTTTATAGATTTCACTAAAGAAAAAAAACAAGAGTTGGAAAATACGTAAATAAATATGTATATATACACTTGCAAATAAACACGTATCAGCACAAAGATATTATTATGTGTTTGCTTTTTGCAAAGTTTTGTCATGCAAAATAAAAACTAAAATATGTTGAGATTACAATACGACCAAAATGAAAATTGCATAATGTGGTTGTCACCCGATTACAAAAAACTTACAAAAGTATATTTTATTTATTAATAACTAATTTATGACATAACAAATAACCATAATCATTTTATAACAGTTCACGTGACACCCAGCACAGTTTGGAAGCTACATACATACACTTTTTTAACCTTGTTTCAATGATAATATTAAATAAGGTTCTATTTTATTAACAATAATTTGTATTTTCTCAGCATGCAACCTACTTTAGCTCTTTTGAAAAAAACAAAATAATAATATTAATAAAATAGTGCGTCTGTGCCACTTCTCGCTACATTAAAAATTTACATTTGTAATATGCCAAATAGATTATATTTCTTGTTTTGTTTTTTATGTTCTGCATTTGCTGTTTGTACAATATTGCAAGGTATAAAAGTGTCTTAATAAATGAACTAAAAAAATGTAGAACCTTTCATACAAGAGATCACATTAAAACGGAACCCTTTCTAGGAAAAATATACAGGGTGTTTAATTGAAACTAATTAAAATCAATTTAAAGATTACGAAATCGTTACATACATACCCAGTTTAAACATATTTTAAAATAATAATACAAACATTATAAAACTAAGATTATTTACAAATATGAGCTAGCCACAGCCAAGTTACTGCTACAGCAAAGTTTAAGTAACGTTGGACTTTTGAATTTTTGGTCACACAGCTTTAACCTATGCAGTTTCAATGAAGATACCACAATATTAAATATATTACTGCGCAGGAACCATCGTATGCTAGAAATATAAAAATCTGTCCACATTTTCACACAATTCGTAACGCTTGTTAACAAATTACCACAATACATTAACGTCATAATTTTATTATACGTTTACTTACATATACAATTAATTTATTAAAACGTGGATGAATTAAATATTCACAACAAAACAATCCGTCATTCAAATGCACTTATTTACTTATAGTCTAATAACTTTGTCTCCAGAATAATGAATGGACCTTTGAGGCATTTTTACATCAACAAATTCTGTCAAACTGTAATGTATATGTATTTTTATGATGAGAATATTCAGTGGGATAAGACAAGATAAGGTGGAACATATTTATCTTTGCAAATTGAACATTTAATATTGTAATTGGTCCTAATGTATTAATACAAATAACTATGCGATTTACTTCAAGTGAATTGTTTTTTGCAATAATTATAGTTAAATAATAAATTCTAGTACCCAAAATAAAGGCAAACACGAAACCAAGTGCTTTTTGTAAAAATTTGATCCAAACCTTGTACTGCTAACACCTTGAAGATAAATTATGTAGAATTAATTTAACTAGCATTCTTCCAACTATCGAAATTAAATTCTTACTGACACCTCAAGATTAGGATCATTATATTTATGTATTAAATTTTATATTCTGTTCATGACATATTGAAAACAAATATATATTTCCAAATTGTTTTCTTAATAGTACCTACTCCAGTTCGTAGATAACTACTGACCAAAAAAAAAGAAATTGGTTGACATACAACTGGAGGAAATGGTATTTTGGTGTTTTACCACTTATTTATCTATAATGTTTAGATGTTATACATATATCATCTGAAATTATACTACCAGCATTCATTTTCGAAATTCATAATGTTAAATGAGCTGACCTTTTTTTTCTACTGTTACACCCATATGTTTATTTAAGTAGGTGTAACATAATATATTAAATGATAAGAAATTTTACTTTATAATACTACCTAGAAGTAATGGTTCTTGGTTACCAGCAATAACTCAAGCAATATTTATTTGAATGTTTGAATTCAAATAATTTGAAATTTGGAAAATAATTCAAATAATTTGAATTCAAACATTCTATCTTTTTATTTATTTTTATTGCTTAGATGGGTGGACGAGCTCACAGCCCACCTGGTGATAAGTGGGTACTGGAGCCCATAGACATCTTCAACGTAAATGCGCCACCCACCTTGAGATATAAGTTCTAAGGTCTCAGTATAGTTACAACGGCTACGCCACCCTTCGAACCGAAACGCATTACTGCTTCACGGCGGAAATAGGTGAGGTGGTGGTACCTACCCGTGCGGACTCCCAAGAGGTCCTACCACCAGAGATTACGCAAATTTATCTAAATAGATACGCGAAGATTTTAAATATTATACATTGCTTTCCTCGGTACCTCTTTCATTTGTTTTATAAAAAAATTAACACCAGAATGAAAACGACTATAAGAGCGATACTTTTTTTAAATTATATATTTTTTTATTTTTACTAGTACAAAAGGGGGACATATTCAAAATTTTATTGAATATTATAAACAAAAAAATATTTTTTATGGTAATTCTATTCAGCTAAAATTATGTCTTATAATAAAAAGTGTTAAATGATCCTTAAATGAGAATAACCTTTGTTAAAACATGTTTAGTGGTTTTAAAAAATGCAACTGTTAATACGTGCCGCCGCGCCTCTCTGAACATTAGGTACATAATACACAAGGACATTGATCAATTGTCACATTAATATAAAGGCCATTAAAATTCTAATCAATAGTTGCTTTAATTTACATAATCATCCATTACCTTGTAAACTATATACTTAAGTGTTTCATGTGTTAGGTTAAGTTTCTTTATGGAAACTCACACTTAAATGTTAACTTAATATCATTGATTCCTTAATTTTTTCTCTCAATTTTCGTATTCTATATCAAAGCTTCTGTCTATAAACAGACAGAACACTATCAGGTCGTTTTCGTTTTCTATCGTCAAAGTATTAACATATACTTAGTCTGGCCATAAATACTGTTACAATTAAAAATAAACAATATATTACATTTGAATTTGGAATCTGTCATTTTTATATGATTGCTCATTGAGTTTTCTCATTTTGGCGCCAATACATTGTACAATATTTTGCGATATTAAAATGGAGTGGGGTGATAAAGAGAACCGAATCGCTGTGATTGCATTACACAAAGTAGGTATGGAGCCAAATGCAATTTTTAATTCTCCATACGCTTGGTATTAGTAAAATGTTTGTGTACCGGGCTATTAATAGGTGCAATGAGACCTCTGTTTGTGACAGAAAAAGAGCTGGCCGTCCACGTAGTGTTCGTACGAAAAAGGTGGTCAAAGCAATAAGAGAAAGAATTCGAAGAAATCCTGTCCGAAAGCAAAAGATTTTATCTCGGGAGATGAAGATAGCACTTAGAACCATGTCGCGTATTTTAAAAGATGACTTAGGACTTGCAGCCTATAAGAGACGTACTGGTCATTTCTTCACTGATAATTTAAAAGAGAATAGCTGGTAAAATCGAAACAACTACTGAAGCGGTACGCAAAGAGAGGTCATAGAAAAAAATTGTTTACGGATAAGAATTTTTTTACAAATGAGCAACATTTTAACAAAAAAAATGACCGTATTTACGCTCAAAGTTCTAAGGAAGCTTCCCAATTAGTCGACAGAGTGCAACGTGGGCACTATCCGACTTCAGTGATGGTTTGGTGGGGTATTAGCTATGAAGGAGTGACTGAGCCATACTTTTGTGAAAAAGGTATCAAAACATCGGCACAAGTGTATCAAGATACCATTCCTGAGAAGGTAGTGAAGCCTCTTAACAGCACCATGTTCAATAATCAAGAATGGTCCTTCCAGCAAGACTCGGCGCCAGGTAATAAAGCTCGGTCTACGCAGTCTTGGTTGGAAACGAACGTTTCGGACTTCATCAGAGCTGAAGACTGGCCGTCGTCTAGTTCCTATCTTAATCCGCTGGATTATGATTTATGGTCAGTTTTAGAGAGTACGGCTTGCTCTAAACGCTATGATAATTTGGAGTCCCTAAAACAATCCGTACGATTGGCAGTGAAAAATTTTCCCATGGAAAGAGTGCGTGCTTCTATTGATAACTGGACTCAACGTTTAAAGGACTGTATTGCAGCCAATGGAGACCACTTCGAATAAGCTTTTTATACTTTAAATTGTTTTATATTTACGTATTAAACAACACACTGTAAAAGTAATAAATGTTATTTGTAATAGAAATTTTTTTGTTTTCCTTTGTCTCAGTATTTATGGCAAGACTAGGTATTTGGAACGGAAAAGGGTTTGTTTTACTTGGAAATTATACATATATTTATATATTAAACTTATTTGAAATTTGCAATATATTAAGGAAAGAGAATTACTTGTAATTATAATTGTTCTTTTGTTTTATTTCGAGCCGTTTTGTATTCATAATCAGAAATCGTACTAACAATTAACATGACCTGTATTTAGATTTATCACTGCAAAGTACGTTGTGTCATTTTTTTCATATTTATGAAAGCGTTGTATCTTCGTCGTATTTATATGAGCGTTGTGCACGATCATATTTTCAATTGCTGGAATTGAACCACCAAACAATTTTGATAATTGACTGGTTTCGTAATTAATAACACCACAATTGTGTTAATTTTTTTAGTTTTTTAGATTATCCTGTCATCTCCTTTTCGCAATCGCCCCGTGCGTCTCCGGAGCAGATTTTACGATTTACCTACATCTTACTATTCAATCACTTGCTGATCCAAGATGTCTTCCGTAGAACTTTTTTGCAAACTACCTTCCCACTTTGGAATGAACTGCCCGCGGGGTCTTTTGAATGCTATGACATGTCTTTCTCTACAGAGTTTGAGATCTCTATCTCAGCGGCAGTTAGTAAGTAGCAAGTAGTTAAGTTTTTTTTTAGAAAAAAATTTTTTTTTCGACACCTGATGGTGAACCGTTTTTTTTTCAGTTTCTATTCATTTAAATTATAATCCTATACATAAAACCTGTTATTAGACATTTCGGAAGCACCAATAAAAATATCACTATAATTATAATGGTAGTAAACATTAATCCAATACAAGATAGTAATCCGTATGCCATCTTCTTTGTGTGAATTCTGCTTGTAAAGATGAAGACTACTACAGTTAAAAAAAAATTAAGCACATGACGTTATGATATTGATGGAAAGTTTTTATTATAAATATGCATAATAGATTATATGATTGCAGTGTTCCATCAGCGAGAACAGAAAGGTAAATATTAACTTCATATATTGGCTATAATATGAAGTGATATTTTTCGCAGCTCGCGCTACCAACAAGAAAGTCATCTATCAATCGTGAGCTACGTCACAAATACTAATTTTGACGAGTTCTTACCACGACTTAAAAGTTTGAAAATCGCAATAATAACCCCTGATAAGTGTTTCGAATGTCAGGCCTTCGCGAATGTGTAAAATAAATAATGAACTTACTGCATGTTTCAGAGGCTTGGTAAGGATGTACTTATTTCGAGTCATTTTACGACTTATCATATTCTATATATAATTCATACCTATCTATTCGAACTCTCTATATGAAAATTAAAACCTAAACGTAAAGTGTTTCAATGAACATGAATATTTTTCGTTATACTAAAACGTTTAAAACATTTCAACTTTGATGACGGTAGTTTTCTATCGAATAATTTTGACTATTTTTATTTTCTTTTTTTATTGTTTAGATGGGCGAACGAGCTCACAGCCCACCTGGTGTTAAGTAGTTACTGGAGCCCATAGACATCTACAACGGCTTCACGGCCGAAATAGGCGGGGCGGTGGTACCTACCCGCGCGGACTCACAATAGGTCCTACCACCAGTAAAATATACCAGACTAATATATTTTGTACTGTAAACTAGGATTTTTTCTGAGAAATTTAACTTCACTCGACTATATTTTTAAAAACGAAAAAAAGCACCGAAATCCGCAGCCGAAACGATATTAACATATAGCGCCGATTCAATTTTGTTAAGCCAAGCCAAAACATTCAATGTATAGTAAACAATAACATAATTTCGTGAGCCCGTAATGTAAAGCTTTTAAAACCAAAGGTCAAAGACCGCATTCGAGCTGCTCTGCGCAACAAATATGTTGGGCTTACGTTATTTTCAAAATATTTATCATATAATTGTCTTTTTTTATTAATCATATTATTTAATCACACTTCATGAAGGATTTCGAGAGATTTCTTGCTAACGCTAAGTGATTACTTAGCGTGTCAGAATTCACCTTCTAGAGTCTAGAAGAGTTCTAGACGTGTCTCCTTTAAGCCGTTTTCACACACTCTTATTATGCGTAAAATTCTCATAAAGAGTACTACTTCAACTGTCGGCGTCTTTTAGTGAAATGAAATAGTTAATGGTATAACAATAGGTCACTGTTTAAAATATGAGTAGGTACTTTTTAGTAATTTTTTTGTTATGTTTGTTTGTTTAATTGACAATCTGAAATGGAATTATGTACAGTTCCCATACAAGAGCTTACTTAGGCTACGATCAACAAAGTCTTGCGTATCATGTGACAGCACTTTTTTTTCAATTGGTCTTAGTTTAGCAAAATTAAATTAAACACAAGTCATTTGTGAAATTTTAAAATCGCACCAGATAAAAGTCAATAAATATCACTAGGTCACAATATCAAGATTTTCGGAGAACTCCTTTGCTAGCCTGCTTGGCCTTTAGCTTTTAGTAGCCTTTGCTACCATTAACTTCTTTTAGCGCAAACTATGTCCAATTGAAAACATTGTAAACGTTAACTAAGTGAAGAATGCAATGGCTATACGATATTTTCTTTAATCGCCGAAATAATTCTTATTCAGATCGATTCCTATTGTAATTTAGCGGTAGGCTGCCCTTGGCATTACTGACGTCCATGAGCGAGGGTAAGCCCTTACCATCAGGTAGGCCGTATGCTCGTCTGCCTGATAGGGTAATAAAAATCTTATGAGTTCACAAATCATTGTATAGACTGTTTGCTTATGACATTTACCGTATCCAATAAACTACTAACTGTAATATACGCATACGTTTTGGCGTTAATTTATTTTATTTTAATTATTTTAACGAATTTTATTTAAAATGATGGTTTCTAAACAATTTACAAATCTTTAGGGATTTCAGTAAGGTAGTTTGAAAAAAAATCCCTATTATGATGATAGCAAGATGGTAGACCTGAGCTAGTTCCGTATCCATCCGGCGGCGTGCAGGTAGTGCGTGACGGAGAGGTCGAGGTCGCAGTCGGGCGCAGGCGCTCGGCGGAGCAACACGCCCTTCAGCGTCACGTACTGCGCCGGCGGCAGGCTCAACGCCGAACACAACTGCGCAAACATTATAGTTATAGTTATTTCGATTTTAATTATCAAAAGAAACACGCATTCAGATATTTTTTTAACGTGAAAACAATCTCAAAATTAAGTAAAGGGTGATTGGATTTTTTTTTATACGAGATTCTAAATATTGCATTTCTATTTTCTTCAATTAAGACATCAAGCTTCCTTTGAGCGATAACAAACTAAAATATGATTGCGTTTATGAGCTCTGGTAACCACTTAACGCCAAGTTTCTGGCTAATATATGTAATTAGAATCGGCCAACACGCAACAGTGTGCGATGCGTTTCATGCCGCCGAAGATAGGGAACGATGACGCAACATAACGGAGAAGATTCTAGAACAGTGGCTCCCAAACTTATTTTGTCTACTGCCCACTTTGAGAATAAATTATTTTTTAGCGTCCCCATTTTTTCTACCTACTTAAAAATCACTATAGGGAGAGCTCAGTCTGTGTCTAAGAGTTCTCCTAAATAAAATTACAAATTGCCTCCCAAGCCTCTACACAACGCTCCCATTTTTTTCTGGGTCTATTACCGCCCCGCCCCCCCCCCCCATGGAACCTGCAGCGCCCACAAGGGGGCGTTATCGCCCACTTTGGGAAAGGCTGTTCTAGAAGGTGGCGGTCGCACAAATACCAATAAATACCTGTATCTCATTAGTGGTGAGCAGATTCCTCGAGCATCCTGCGCTGTTGCTGTTGCATGAGCTCTTTTTGGAGCATCCACATGCGGTACTTCCGTCCCGTGTGCACTTTGGGCTGGTGGAATTTGAGCCGCTTTCGCCGTCTCTGTTGCAGACAAAATTCATGTTCAGGTACGGTTTCATTGCACTTTTGCATGTGCGAAAATTATCGTTACAAATATTAAATCATGTGCTTGTTTAATATTATTGCATTGATTAGCAGTATTACCTTTTTCTTTGCTGCAGCGAGTTGATCGATGTTTGATCTCTTGTCTGATTGGTTTCCGGGCACCCACTGCTACCCTGGCGAATACAATCGTTATACGGAATCAAACCCAAAACTACATGCGACACTGTTCGGTACTACTAGAATANATTATCGTTACAAATATTAAATCATGTGCTTGTTTAATATTATTGCATTGATTAGCAGTATTACCTTTTTCTTTGCTGCAGCGAGTTGATCGATGTTTGATCTCTTGTCTGATTGGTTTCCGGGCACCCACTGCTACCCTGGCGAATACAATCGTTATACGGAATCAAACCCAAAACTACATGCGACACTGTTCGGTACTACTAGAATATTCAAATCACAAATGGAACTATTTCTGCAATGATATCCGTGTTCACAAAAAAAAAACGGACAGACGATACATCTCTATAGGTACAGGTGATATATAGACAGCAGCTTGTCTATGCTTCTGGGGTTGCTAACCTCTATGAGTAACGGTGACCACTCACTATAAGATTGGCCGTATGCCTCCAGTGGCAATAAAAACACTATTCAGTTTGCATACCTATCCCTTAAATAACACTTAAATTGTACAGCCCTCAGCCAGCCTAGAATCGACACCTCTACATATTTCTATTCATTAGATCTCTTAGAACACCAATAAGGATCAATATAATAATATGTGGAACGTTCTCCAAGATTGGCAAAACTATTCGAGTTTCAGGGCTATCACAAGAACTACCTTTCTTATCAATGATCGACTCCTATGACTGACATATCAAAGGGCTACCCTGACAATACTCTTGTCGTCCTAGTCCGTTCATCAGGAAGCATAATTCATCCGTAATGACGCGATGACTACAAAACACTTTTTGTTTTCCTACCTAAGCTGATAGTCTTGAGAGGCTATTTCAGCATAGCCTTAACAAGGTGAGCTCACGGGTTTCAAACCGGAGTGATGCTAACACTGACCCTAGCAAGAGCAATGCTTCGCAGAATCTACCACCGGATAGGAAACGCAACCCACTGAGAAGATCCGGCGAGAAACTCAGTGGGATGTGTCAATGGGTTAATTCGTTCGTCGAGCCCTTCGTCGCAAGCGACGGGTTCAACGAGGACGGTGACCGGTGCTTGTGGTACCTAAAAGCACCGTTAATGGATCGGGAGGATCCGTAATGACGTGTTTTGGGCGAAAACACTAAATATACTGGTGGTAGGACCTCTTGTGAGTCCGCGCGGGTAGGTACCACCGCCCTGCCTATTTCTGCCGTGAAGCAGTAATGCATTTCGGTTTGAAGGGTGGGGCAGCCGTTGTAACTATACTGATATCTTAGAACTTATATCTCAAGGTGGGTGGCGCATTTACGTTGTAGATGTCCATGGGCTCCAGTAACCACTTAACACCAGGTGGGCTATGAGCTCATCCACCCATCTAAAAAATAATATATATATATATATAGTTCCAGTAAACACAAAATAGTGGGAGAGTAATCATCAGTGCGACTCACGTTCCGGTCGTGGTGCGTGGAGCGCCTGAGCGCGGCGTGCTGGTCGTGGTGCGCGCACTCCTCCAGCCGCGTGACGCCGGCCAGCCGGTACCGGTGCAGCTCCGCCAGCCGCACGCGCAGCTCGCGCTCCCGCCACAGCCCGCTCGACACGCACGCCTGCTCAGCGCGCCCGTAGAATTGGGCCATCCATCGTAGCCGCTCCGTGAACTCTCTGAAGATATACAATCTATATATTAATACGTGAAGCAAAAATGTTGTACCCCTTTTTACGAAAATTGCGCGACCGGAGGAGTATGAAATTTCCTACACTTATAGAGAACTAGCTGGCCCGGCAAACGTTTCTAGGAAAGATAAATAACCTAGATACCGACTGCAGCGCCATCTGCCGGGCTGATTTGTGAACCTAAACCATTCAGTGCCACCTAAACGTATACAAAAAAATCATTGAAATCGGTCCAGCCGTTTAGGAGTTTAGTGACAAACACACGCACAGAAAAAATATATATATATAAAGATTCATTAAATTGATAATAATAGTAGTTAATTTACATGATAATATTGTCAATAATAAGTTGATAAAAGCTGAAATTTTAAATTTAGCTTTTTTAATCATTAGCGCCCCCACAACGATTCTCATCATTAACGCCCCTGCACCTGGTGTAAGGAGTCCAACGCTCATATAAATATTAGCCTATCCATTAAGTACATGTATTTTCTACATGGATACCAGATTTCAAGTCAATCGGGTGCATGGTTCAGTTGTTATAACGGAACTTCCGTAAAAACCCCTGTAGATTTATATATTTGTATAGATATAGAGAAGGAGTGCAGAATGTTAATATACTTATTTTTAAATTATGCATCAAAATACATTAAATCAATAAAAATAAAAACATTACACACACACACGAATGCATATTATTTGTTTATTGTCAAACTTTTCTTTTTGCTTATAGTCTGTGGTCAAATTGAGAATAGATTAAATATTGTTTGTCTTTTTTAATATTTGTCTAAATTGTGTCAAAACACGAAAATCATAACATATCTATATACTACACATTTGAAATACTTCAAAAATATTATTGGTACATACTTTTTTTCTTTGGCAAGTTTTCCTAGGGTCTTCTGTTTATTCCTCTGATTGTTGAAGAAGACAGACACTAACTGGAAATCTCTAACTAATCTTTTTCGTCTCGTTCTCTCTCTCAGTCTTCTGATGTATATATCAACTTGTGATAGCTTTAGTGCTATAAAAAATAAAAAAAACGGGATATGTCATTTTTTATTTATTATATATATCTTATATGTATTTAACTAAGCTATGAGACGTTTTAAAATCATAAAATAGATATACAGATCTTATAAAGCTTTTAGTCTAGCCTGTTCATAATATGTATCAAATAAGAGACGTCTCTGAGTGAATAATTCATATGTAAATTTCAAGCTCAAGGTCGGCAGTCTATCAGTCATTATTATGATTTTTTTAAAAGGATATTATTATATTAAAAACCACATATTTACTTATCTATTGAATATATATCTATATATAACCTACCAACATCTAATTCATCATCTTCTGGATTTAATGATAATGTTGAGATCAACTGCTCTGCCTCATGGTCATGTTCCTGAAATTTCGACACTTTGTAGAACAAACAATATTTTAATTTATTATAGTAAATAGTACAAAAAATTCATTCTTACTCTTTCAAAATCATCTCTATTTGGCATATACCCAAGTTGTGCTGCTTCGTCTACTGTTATAGCTAGGTTTGGTAGTCGAGACACTGCAGTTGGACCAAGTGGGCCATCATCTTTATCTGCACAATGTAGTGATGGGCGAGATGTACTTTCAATATTGCCCCATGTTGCTTTGCCTATGGTGCCTTCCAGGTACCTAGTAATGTATTCATCTTTTGCTTCTGTAATTGAAATTTATGTTTATTTGTTATTATTATTTATTTGTCTTTCTTATTACAATAATGTAAATGAAAGGATTTGATTCGAGCCCTACACCCCAGCAGAGGGTAATAGGAAAGAACGATGATTATGATTATTATTTATTTTTATTATTATATTTATTTAATTAATTTATATAATATAGTATGATAATATTTTGGTAATCGTTCTAAAGTTCAGCACTACTGTACCACTGCCACTATATGAAGCAGAACCTCCTTTGCTCTACCTATAGTCACAGTTCAGTATATTTGTTTTCAATGCTTCCATCGCTGTTACAAGTTTAGGAAGGAGTTTAGAAGAGTGCAGAGGTCTTAAAGAATCTGAGATTGACATGGTCAGTCCTTTTGTGGTGTCAATTTTTAGAAGTATTCTCAACAGATTTAAATAATTACTTCTCACCCTATTTATTATTTTTACTGGTGTTAAATCGTTGATTTGAACTTATGGGATGATTTATTTCCAAATTATTCTTTTTTACTTGTGAAAATAAAAGATATGCATCATGTAAATTTAATCCCAACAAAATTTATTTAATGTAAATGTTTAATATATATTTCTTGTTCTTGTTTAATATATATTTTGAGCTTCCATAGCCCATGAAAAAATCCTGTCTTAACATTGCATGTGGTGAGTTTATATACATTATTGAATGGTTGTGACCATGCTGTCACCATTAAATATGCAAAGTTACTATATCAAGGGAGTAAAAGGCTATTTGGTTTAAATGACATTTTTGACAACTTTACAGGAAGGCCATTCAAAGCTTAAAAATTGGAAAAAATATCATAACCAAAAAACGTCTTCAGCTATTTGAATGGAGTAAACGTAAATTGAAATTCAATTAAAAACATCGAACTGTTGATACCAAGCATACCTTTAATTACTAAGGTAATGTACGTTATACCAAATAGCATTTCACCCCTCGATATTATAAAACTGAGACTTAGTAATCGTGCCTAAAGGTGGCTAGTAACATTTACGTAGTTGAAATCTCTTGACTCCCGTAACCACCTAACAACAACAGGTAGACGGTAAGCACGTCTACCCAAATATAAAAGCTGAAGCTTTAAAAAAAATTGAAATTCGAAATATTCTCCATATTTTATTCAACAATGTTTTTTCGTTGCAGAAGCTATTTTTGAAAATTGTTATTGCATTTAGATAAAAAGTTACAAATAATAGTATGCATATACTAGGTATTCTTTGCCAAGGCATGCAATGTATGCTGTTTGATGCCAATGTTGAAAAATGAACCGAAGCACAGTGCTAAGACAGCAGATTACTGAGTAGCTTATATCATTAAATTACCTTCAGGAGTTCTTGTTTCAATATGTTTTGCTATATCCTCCCAGTTACCAAAGCCGAATTGTTCTATGGCATCTAATAATCTTACTTCTTCGTTAGCTGACCAGCTACTACGTCCTAAAAATATTCCAAAAGCCCCAGAGTCCTGGAAAAATAGAACACTTGAAAATCTATTTACTTTCTGTAATAGTATTACAGTAGTCGTTTATAAAGTGCTTACCACAAACTGATATGAATGATCGTTTTTGTGCTGTCCGATTTCAGCACCAAGAGAAAAACACTGAAAATGCATTTTATTGCATATTAATTTCTAAGTGACAATTTTAAATTTTGCGCCAAAACTATCAACAAAAATGGCAGTATCAACTACTTTACCTGCAAACAAATATCAAAATCAACACATTCAGTACATTTAACTCTTACGCCGTTTATTTCCTCTTGACAATATGTACAATTATATTTAGCGTAAAGATCTGAAAATGACATGATTTTTATTACAGTGAAAACAAACTTTAAACTTGTACGTTGGCAGGCTTCAGATTAGCGCACAAATTTCCAAAGCCATTTTACGTTTTTTATTCCCAAACATTTTGAGTTACCAGAGTAATAAAACATATTTTGTAAAATATTTTATTTCCTAAAACTTAACTACGCATTCTAACATGTCGAATAGATTTGAATCTATTATGTATTTGAAAATTAATTTGGTAGGGTGGTACAAGATTGGAGTAACACTACCCTATCCGGTCATCGGCGAGAAAATTAACCCACAGACACAGTTCACCGAGTTTCTCGCCGGATCTTCACAGTGGGTCGCGTTTCCGATCCGGTAGTAGATTCTGCGAAGCACTGCTCTTGCTAGGGTTAGTGTTAGCAAAATCGTCAGGTTTGAGCCCCGTGAGCTCACCTACTTGTTAGGTTTGGCTGACATAGCCTCTCAAGGCTATCGGCTTAGGTAGAAAAAAAAACTACCCTATCGCTTCCCGTTGTTGTCACAAAATACAACTAAGAAAACTGAACAATGAACGATGCACAGAAATAATAAACCAATATAGGTCTTGCGATCGACAAGAGGCTTATATTAGTGTATTTCTGCCATGAAACCATCATGCATTCTAGTTTGAAGTGTGAGACAGTTTTTACAGTTACAGTTTACAGACAGTTCGACAAAATCAAAATCCTGTTTTGTTTGTAATTTAATGCTCTCATTTAGAAAACCGTATTACTGTGTGAAAAAGATTTTTAACGTTAAGCTAAGACGCATCATTCCTGTCGAATGTCTGATAAGACGTATTTTTACTACAATATCTCTTCCTAACGCAAGTATAGAAAAGGACGGTGATATTAAAATTCACGATGTACAGTATAATTTGCAAATTAATAGTCGAACTTACCAGGCAACCATAGACGTAAAATATAGACCTAAGCTAAATTTGAACCAGGAAACTGTTACTAGTCTTACAAATAGTGATAATTCCAATGAAATTCGTTAATTTCTAGTTTAAAAGCAGCTCTCTTATAATACTGCATATTAATCTGTGATAGTAACATGCTCCTTATGAGCGTTGCTGTAAGTGGTAAAAAGAAAACTACTACTTAATGGAACATGTAAATCCAAATTAATTTCTAACTAGTCTGTAGCTCCAAAACCTTACTACAGATTTGACCTAAAGGTTGTAAATACCAGGTCTGAAATCCCAAAAAAAAAACTTACTACAGAATAAATTCTGTTGTATATGACAGCGAAATGTTTTTAATTCAAGTTTTCTCTAATCTTGCTTGAGCGTAGACAGAGAATCTATACATAAATGAATACAAAATTAAACTTTATTGTTACAACACAACAGCAAGGCATCTAAATATCTCGGTACCTTTAAAACTTAAAATTTGTGGTTCAACCTAGTAAATCTACAAATTATAGTAAAGTTGTGCATTAACATGTGCTACGTAACATAAGAAAGCGGATTACAGCTGAACATTCTGCTTTCAACCATGAAATCCAGTAAGCGCCGACTCCAAGCTTTAACTGAAGGTACCGACGGAATGCCGAACTATCTCAAAATGGAAGATTCAGAAACTTCAATTCCACCAGTATTCCGATCTCGTTTGCACGAGCTATTTTCTCAAATAGAAAAGGAGTTCGATCTTCTTTATACGGAAAATTTGAACTGTAAGTAGCAAACATATATAGAATATATTCGTTAAATGTGTTGTGAACTGATGCTCAAAACCATCATATGTAACCGTTTACATTGGGAAGCAGATTGATATTATATTTATTGAAACCATAGGGCTTAGTGAGGGCTGATAAAATGTCTTGTGAATAAATAACTAAGATCAGCAAATAATTCTGAAAAGATATCTGCAAGTTAAACAGTATTATGTACTTTTAAAATGTATTATAAGCAATTTGAACAGCTATTTAAAAGCAAATGCAATTAATTGCAGTACAAGAAAAAATTGATATATTAAGTGAAAAACTTGAGAGGGAAAGTTATATTGGAGACAGACAGAATGTGGATTACATTGAATTTGATGCTACTGGAAAAAATTCTAAAGTAAAATGTGAGTAAAACAAAATAATATAATCTGTAAGTAGTTATGGGAAACTTGTTGGGAGAAAATGCACTAGGTCTATCTCCTATTGTAGATGCTCTTAAATTTTCTATGATTTTATGTCTATTCCAAATAAAATTATACAAAGTTGTCATTAGTCAATTAGTAATGCCAAATTAAGTTGAATCTATTTAAAATTTTAATTACAATACAAATTTTAATATTCATTTTGGATGTTATTCCTTTAGTTCTTGATAATTTTATTATTGAAATGTTTTAGCTTACCTCACTAAACTTTTTAAATAATTTAAAATATTTAATATTTTAAAATTATATTAAATATTTTAAAACTATTTTAAATAATTTTAGTATCACAAAGCAACTCTCAAAAAGTAAAAGCGAGTCACAAGTTGAGGGTGCAAACAAGCAAAATAGTGTCTAGTTTCAAAGCACCCACATACAGTTGCCAACTGATACGTGAGTTCACTGGTCACAAGGATGGAATCTGGGATGTCACGTCAGCACGTCCTGGGCAGGCATTGATTGGAACTGCTTCAGCAGGTTAACTATTCAAAAATATACTATTATAATTTTTTTTTTATTGTCTTGATGGGTGGACGAGCTCACAGTATAAATGTTTTCTAATAAGATTTCTCTTAAATTACTTTTTCAATCATAATTTTCATTATGTTTCCTTGTCTTTAAGAATGCTAAATAAGTATCATGGAGTAGTTTAAAAGAAACAATTTTGTAGATTTTATAGAATATGAAGCTTAAAAGCTTATCCAGATTGTTCAACAAGTTATTATCTTGGAATTTAAATAGTTTTATTAATATTAAATGATACTTTTAATCAGCCTTATTAGTGTGCGAAGAGTGTCGTAAATACATATGCTTATTTGTAACTTAAATTATTTTAATTATTAAAACTGTGGTTTTATAAACTTAAATAATCAAGTAATATTAAAAGCATTGAAAGATGTTATAAGTGGCACTTTTCAGCAAACATTCAAGGATGTATTATTACATTTAACCATAAAAAAGTTTTTTGTCAGCTTTATTATTTTCTTTTAATTTTATTATTATTACTTTAATCGTTTAAATTAAAGTAATAACTATAATCTTGTTTGCAATAGATCACACAGCCTGTGTGTGGAGTGTGGAATGGGGTAAATGCCTTCTACAATACACCGGTCATTCTGGTTCAGTAAACTCCATTCGATTTCACCCGAGCAGAGACATAGCATTGACTAGCAGTGGTGATAACACAGCACATGTATGGCAAGCTGCTGTGAACTGGGATTTACCTGTGAGTACTCTCAAGTGTAATGATGAATTTATGTTTATTCTTTAACATACTGGACTGACTGTAATTAAAACAGACCAGCTATAAGATGTTGTTAAGACATGAAAATAATCTTGGTATATTGCTTGCTGTGTTGACTTTCAAAATCAAAGAGCCTGTATTTTGTTTGTTGTCTCTTGTCAGAAAAACAAACTAACAGCTCTTCATGTAGTTAAGTCCTCTGCAAACTTTGGCAATGATTCCACCTTTGTTATTTCGGATGCCTATAAGCTATGGGAAATACTTAATTTTATACTTACAATGATAAATTACGGTTTATATCTGGAGTAGTATTACTCATTGTCCCGATCACCGTCCTCGTCGCCTGCGACGAAGGGATCGACCAGCGAATTAACCCATAGACACAGCCCACTGGATTTTTCACCAGATCTTCTGCGAAGCACTGCCCTTGCTACGGCCAGTGTTAGCAACACTTCCGGTTTGAGCCCCGCGAGCTCAACGCGTTAGGGTGAAGCTGAAATAGCCTATCAAGGCTAAAAACGAGATCATTAGGTAGCTTAGCATCAGCCGAATTTTTGGACAATTTCAATGAGAGTTGAGAACATGAATATCTTCACTGTGGTGTTGTATAATTGACGATTAACGTGTGCGATCTTGAATCTTTGAATAATTTGAAATACTTTCAAATGCAATTGGAACAATATGTAAATCGTTGAAGTTCATTTCAATATATTTAATGTTAACATTTTTATAAACAAGTTTCGAAATGTGATCATCATGTAAATTAAGATTTATTACACAAAAGCATTTTATTATGTACGTCAGAACCACCTTGAGACGTTCGAGTCGTCAAACATGTTTGATTGCACGAATCTTCAAAGACTATAAAATATATATCAGAAAATTACGTGACTAGACTAAACTTTGAATCCAAATAAATGTTTTATGCAATAAATATTTAAAAATATACTTCGGATGCAAAATTTATACAAATCTTATGGTTGAGTTACCTTAAATATGTAAATCTTTTTATGGACACGCTCTGAAACGCAACTAATAGCTTCTTCTTTTTTCTACCTATTTTAGTGACCTCGAGAGGTCATACTAGATTTACCGAACGAATATAATAGCGATGATTTGTGTTTTCTTTGTCGTATCACTCTTGTTAGAGCCGTCGTGGTCGTCAGTAAGTATCATTGCAGATAGAGACAGAAGTTATGCGCCTCACATGATTTGCATACATCAACCTTTGAAAACAGATCTTTCTTTTTGGGTTTTCGCGAGTCGCAGACATAATGAAAATTGTAAAGTATTTGAAGCGATGGAAATGATAGAATTCCAATAAAAAAGCGAGATTAAATCGTAGAAAAAGTTTTAGTTAGGGTGATAATCGTTAAGTTTGCAATGTTCTTCAGACTGTCGAAAAAAAATCTTTTTTAAAATGTATTTTAATATAGCGAAGTTAGCCGCACCTAGACTTAAATTGATGAACCTGATTTAATGTCATATTGACGACCAAGCTTATCCAAAAGTATCGATACAAACACTAACTATGTACTGAACGAATTAAATAAATAGAATGAATGTATTTATAATCTAATATATAAAATTCTCGTGTCACAATGTTCGTTCCCATACTCCTCCGAAACCGCTTGACCGATTCTCATGAAATTTTTTATGCATATTCAGTAAGCCTGAGAATCGACTACTATCTATTTTTGATACCCCTAAGTGATTAGGGTTGTCCACCCCTAACATAATTTTTTTTAGTCCAAAGACTTTTTTTTTTGTTATAATGAGGTATTATGTGGTTGAATGAGGTTTTGTTATTTTTATTATATATTCCCTCATCGTTCACAGCACTACATACCTCTTTCACTCATTTACCACATCCTTACACACTTACAATAAGTTAGTTTTTTTTTTCTACACTAGAAATTCCCTATAAATCTTATATATGGCAAAACAATATTTGCCGGGTCAGCTAGTTATAATATATAATCACCACAATGCGACATCAAATACTTTCAGTGTTCATATTTTCTATGTTCACCCTAACAGTTAGTAATTGAATATTTTAGCGTGGTCAATCTTCTGAAGAGGAACTTGAAGGCGGAGGCGAGGAGAGTCTTGGGGAAGGCGGGGATAGGCCTGAAGTGCTCCGCACACCACTTATAGAGCTCAGTGGACACCAGGGCGTCGTGGTGGCGGCTGACTGGCTGACCGGCGGCGATCACGTCATCACCGCGTCCTGGGATAGGACGGCTAACTTATATGATGTAGAGACTGGGGACTGCCTGCAGGTTCTAACCGGTAAGTGCCACAAATATATTGCTCCAAAAAGCAGAATTTAGCCTTTGGTTAACTATTATAATCGTATAGGAAACTGACAAATCTCCCATTTTCTATGCTATACGACTTCAACTAAGAACTTCGAAGTTGCAATAGCGGAATAAAAGGCTTTCTATTTTAAAAAAAAACTTGCATACATCTCCATAGTAGATACAGACCTGTCCTGGTGAAACATGAAAGCCCTCTGGGCCACCTGTAGTCACTCGATGTCAATAGCCTGTCTATTAAAGCTCTAAAACATTACCTAATGAAAATGTGTAAATTATTTTATTAAGGGATTAATTTTGTAGTTTCTCTTATGAATGATTTTTTTATTACTTAGATGGATGGACGAGCTCACAGCCCACCTGGTGNCGCACACCACTTATAGAGCTCAGTGGACACCAGGGCGTCGTGGTGGCGGCTGACTGGCTGACCGGCGGCGATCACGTCATCACCGCGTCCTGGGATAGGACGGCTAACTTATATGATGTAGAGACTGGGGACTGCCTGCAGGTTCTAACCGGTAAGTGCCACAAATATATTGCTCCAAAAAGCAGAATTTAGCCTTTGGTTAACTATTATAATCGTATAGGAAACTGACAAATCTCCCATTTTCTATGCTATACGACTTCAACTAAGAACTTCGAAGTTGCAATAGCGGAATAAAAGGCTTTCTATTTTAAAAAAAAACTTGCATACATCTCCATAGTAGATACAGACCTGTCCTGGTGAAACATGAAAGCCCTCTGGGCCACCTGTAGTCACTCGATGTCAATAGCCTGTCTATTAAAGCTCTAAAACATTACCTAATGAAAATGTGTAAATTATTTTATTAAGGGATTAATTTTGTAGTTTCTCTTATGAATGATTTTTTTATTACTTAGATGGATGGACGAGCTCACAGCCCACCTGGTGTTAAGTGGTTACTGGAGCCCATAGACATCTGTAAATGTGTCACCCACCTTGAGATATCAGTTGTAAGGTCTCAGTATATTTACAACAGCTGCCCCACCCTTCAAATGGAAACGCGTTACTGCTTCACGGCAGATATAGGCAGGATGGTGGTACCTACCCGCGCGGACTCACAAGAGGTCCTACCACCAGTAAAATATGAATATGTTCTGTCATGATTAGGGCACGATCACGAGTTGACGCATGCGTCCGCACATCACAACGCGCGGCTCGTTGTCACCGCGTCCAGAGATACGACCTTCCGACTCTGGGACTTCCGTGAGCCGATTCACTCTGTTTCCGTCTTCCAGGGGCACACTGAGTAAGTTTTCATTATTATTTTTTATTGCGTAGATGGGTGGACGAGCTCACAGCCCCCCTATTGCCAAGTAACTACCGGAGCCCATAGACTTCTACAACGTAAATGCCGCCACCCACCTTAAGATATGAGTTCTAAGGTCTCAGTATAGTTACAACGGCTGTCCCACCCTTCAAACCGAAACGCATTACTGCTTCACGGCAGAAATAGGCAGGGTGGTAGTACCTACTCGTGCGGACTCACAAAAGGTCTTACCACAAGTAATTACGCAAATTAATTTTGCAGGTTTTTTGAACACTGATAAAAATTGAGTATTCACTATGGCGTGTGCGCATAAGTTCACAGTTCACACGCAGTCCGTAGATGTTGATACAACATTGACTCGCTAAACTTTGAAATTTGAAGTTAAAGATATAAGAATTTAATGAGAGATACGATTGATATGTGACGAAATAAAAGCGATTACTCAATATATTAAATAAAATTGAAGCTATATTTTGAGATACAAAATGTTTTGGAAGAAATTGCCAGATAAAAAAAAATAGAGATGTGTAGTTAAATTGTCAAAATTTAGAAGTGTCTTACGATCGTAAACTAACCTTCACAAACGTCACTCTCTTAGTTCCCCGTTAAGTAGTAAACGAAAATAATACTAAGGTTGAATTTGAATTTTAACTAAATAAATTACCGCCATCTCAATTTGAATCCATAGCGTCATTCTGTAATAATGATATAATGTGTGTTTGACAGAAGTGTAACATCAGCTGTCTTCACGCGAGAGGACAAAGTCGTTTCCGGTTCGGACGATCGCTCAGTAAAGGTACAATTTTATTTTCGGGACAAATCAAATTTACGATACATATCTTCTTCCCACATTAAAACTGTATAATCTCAAAACTTACTAATTTTACAGGAGAGCATTTTAAAGGTTTAACATGTGATATTTTTAACATTAATCATCTTTGCAAACATTATTTTTTTTATTTTTTATCAGTTACATTATCTGTCTTTTAAAGTAAGATAAAATTATGTATTAATTTTGTTAATAGTAGTCAAAACATATAAAAAAAAACTAAAACTAAACTACGCTCTTTTGACAGTATTTATGAGAAAAATACTGGTGATACCAAATGATTCCGCATATTAACTTTATTTCGAATATTTTTGGAAATTGTACACCTTTAATGCGAAAAGACGATGTATTTGAATGGAAAATTAATTTAATAAGTTAAAATAGACAAGTTGACTTAATAGTCGCTGCAAAATGTAGACTAGGGCTCGTAATAACCAATAATTACACGAACTAGGCCGCCTTATAAAATGAATGTTATCATTTTTCGAGGAAAAATAATATAGATGATGATGATATAAAATGTTTTCACACATACTTTTGTAAGCTGAGCCCTATAGCAAAGATATTACGAGTTTAATTTTCTATTTACTACTACACGATCCTTAAATGTGGAGTTCAGTGATATGTTTTTTTTTTAATTTTTTTTATTGCTTAGATGAGTGGACGAGCTCACAGTCCACCTGGTGTTAAGTAGTTACCGGAACCCAGAGACATCTACAACCATAAATGCGCCACCCACCTTGAGATATAAGTTCTAAGGTCTCAGTATAGTTGATGTCAATTCAAATACGGACTTATACAATTATCGAATATAATCTATTAATATCAAACCGCCACTTCCGGCCGGAAATTTTGTGCATTGTGTGCCGAATTCATAGTCGTGATCACATTGCTTAGTAGTGCGCACATGGCTCATGTTGCAAGCCAGATTTTGTTTCTTTTTACTTGTGTTTTTTATGTATCTTTTTAGCTTGTGATGTGTATTGTGTGCCGAATCCATAGTCTTGACCACATTGAAGGTTCTAATGAAAAACGTTCCGATTCTCAGAATAGAAACCATAGTTTAAACACATTAGTTCGGTTGCCGATAACGTTTTACGTATTCAGGTGTGGGATGTGCGGAACATGCGGTCCGCGCTCGCTACGATAAGGTCCGATTCGTCGGTGAACCGCGTCGGCGTGAGCAGCGCCGGCCTCATCGCCATACCACACGACAACAGACAAGTGCGTCTGTTCGATCTACAAGGACAGCGACTCGCCAGACTCCCCAGGTCGAGCAGACAGGTGAGAAAAGGACATCGTCTCTGTCAAACCAAAATCTGCTCTGTGCAAAAACATTTTCGTATAATTTTTTTTTATTGCTTACATAGGTGGACGAGCTCACAGCCCAACTGATGTTAAGTGGTTACTGGAGCCCATAGACATCTACAAAGTAAATGCGCCACCCACCTTGAGATATTAAGTTCTAAGGTCTTAGTATAGTTTCAACGGCTGCCCCACCCATCAAACCGAAACGCATTACTGCTTCACGGCAGAAATAAGCAGGGTGGTGATACCTACCCGTGCGGACTCACTAGAGGTCCTACCACCGGTAAAATATTTTATATGAAGGTGAATTTTTAAGAACTATATAAAATGAAAGCTATAGATAAATATTAAAGCTATAGGGCTGTGAACTATACAAAAAGGTCAAAAAGTAAAAATCTCAAAAAGTGCACATAGTAGATTTTGGTTTGACAATGACGACATGTTGGTTCTCTTCAAATGTAATCATTTCACGGGTGTTTTGTTTGAGAGTTTTCGCAAATGAACATTGTTTTCAGCGCATCCATCATGTTTTGTGGGAAAACGCGGAAAGTAATGAGCTTCCACCGATCGGAAGTTTTTGATCTCCAGTCCGACCATACATACCTATCTTGTAAATGTTTTTATAGCCATTCGGGTTTTTGACGGATTTCTTTTATAGTGTTTGGGTTCTGTAAAAGCTCTTTTCGTTAGAAAGGGGAATGCCCATTTCAGGCCCAAAGCGGACAATAGATTAGAGAAAAAATACTTAGTGCATTAATTTTATCATAAATAAATATGCATTTACTTTCTTCCAAATAAGCGCCACTACAGTTTACAGTAAGTAGTTTAAAAAAGTAACTCTGTTGAAAAAAAACAAGATTTTTATTTTTGCGGGAAATATATTGCCAGCATCAAAACCTTTTACGTATTAAGTAAACTTTTTAAGTATATAAAAAAAAACATATAAATAAATCATTTTAAGTATTATCATTAATCAATCGATTTTAATCGATTAGAAGCACATAAAATAAGATCAAAGACATACCCATTGGACTTTAACTTGTTACTATACTTGAGACCTTAGAACTTATATCTCAAGGTGGGTGGCGCATTTACGTTGTAGATGTTTGTGGGCTCCAGTAACTACTTAACACCAGGGTGGCTGTGAGATCGTCCACCCATCTAAGCAATAAAAAAAAAACTTAACTTGTATTGTTATTTAAATATGTACAACTAAAACTTGCAGGGTCATCGTCGCATGGTGACGTCAGTGGCCTGGGCCGAAGACATGTCCTCGAACATTAACTTCTTCAGTTGCGGCTTCGACCGCCGCATACTGGGCTGGTCTATTCAACCGTCGAAGGAAAACTGAACATGAAAAGGTATCATCACTGATAAATGAATAAATAAATAAATATCAAAACGTTAGATTATCTAATTAGAAAAATGTATTTTACTACGTATTTATTCGCCGTCTATGTTTTTCGTGAGAAGAAAACGCTATTGAGAATTATTATCAAAAGAAGTTACTATAATGAAAAGGGTTTATTAAAGTCATCAATCAAGAAGTGACGTTTAAAACTCACGATAAAAGAAATAATCGTTCAGTATATATTATCTACGCTTGAAAGGCAAACGTGACTAAGCGACAATAACTGCTTTGTACATAAATGATAGGCAATAACCATATTCGATGCGAAAAAAAATTTATTTCTAGGTCTATTAAAATCATTTCAATCCTACAGCTAGATTCGTTAAAATATAATTTTTTTCAGGTAGTATTTTTTAAATTAATTTCAACTTTAAATTAGTCTACTGTAAAGTTCACGCATTGTCGCTTAGTGACGTTTGCCTTTCAAGCGTCGATATGGAGGGTAGAATTAAGGAACACCATCTCAATGTATTAAAAGTTTCCGCCCAAAGGGAACCAATTAAGGTGGCGCCACAGTAGCAAGTGGAAAGATTTAAAAAACGCCCCATAAACTATCACACTTGACTTCAATTCAGCACACTTCACTCTGTTGTAAAACTGGCGTATTGATATAATTTCCACTGTCAACGCTAGCGCTGTTTTGGCGAGTTTTCGAACTATAACTTGCTGTTTACAGGTGAACACTTTTTCAACTTGTTCCCTAATTTTCTATACAAGATGGTACTCCTTTTCCTCTACCCTCCATGTTTCAGTACATTCATTATTATATAGTCTGTTTTACTGTTTCTTAGGGATGCGCTAGGCTAATCGATTAGTAATTTAAAATCGATATGTATGTTATGTCTTAAACATAAATATTATGGTATAGAAATTCGGCTAAAAATATATAATTATATTTTAGTTCTGTAATCGTTGTTGTGAAGTTGTTGTATTTTTGTTTTCATTTTCATAATTTAATTTGTAATGCTGTTAAATTTTTTCACTATTTAATATGATACAATGTAGTAGTAACTTACTTAATGTTATTTATGTACGCACTGTATTACTAAAAATTAACAGTATCGAATCTCTCAAAAAAAACTTTTTACAATTTCTGTTCAGTCACTTATCTATAAAGTCAACATATTTAAAAAATGATTGGATTTCAAATAGTGACTCATAAAACACAAAACCGTTTTAAGTACAATTCAATGATCGGAAGACATTGTCATATGATAAAAACATCTATGCTCATAAAACGACGATCACGTTTGAAAAATTAAATCTTCTAATTACTAACATTGCACTCAATGTAGAATGATTGAAATCAGGTGGTGGTGGGCCTAATGCCTTCGAAGATACAACATAACATAATAACAAACTTATCACAACATGCCACCATAAAACACAGCTATTTTATTAGTGACTTATATACCTGGATTTAGCGCCGTAGTGGCCTCTGGAACGTTCTCTTAAACCTATGTAATAGGCACCTACCCTCGTCTGTATAAAACTGAACACTAAATATAAAGAATACTAAACATCAAATTTAAGTCCGAAATTACAATGCCAATCAACTCACTTAAGCACTCTGCTAATTTGTGTTGTTTTTATAAGTAATTTAAATTTTATTTATTATCGTGGCGAACTTTCTTAAAGCTCTATGTCCAGAAATTGTCAAAAAATCTTTGCATAAAAGTAAATGTGAAACAGAACTAGGACATTTTTGTGGTTGAATAGATAAACTTAAAAACAACTACATTATGAGTTTAGCGTCGAATATCAGTATTACATTAAATCATTTTGTAAGATAAATATTGCTAGGAGTTAGCATTCAAAACATCTGTGGAGTTCTGATAAGACATTTCAAAATAGTTGGATGGTTCTATTTGAAAAATATCTACTATTAAATTAATAAAATAAACCTTATTCCAGAATATTAAATAGAACAACACGGCTTTATCTTTTAGCATAGACTATAGAAGTTTTCAACTTACAGCTTACCTTTGAAAGCAGATGATCATTTTTGAGCTTTTTCGTCAATATTTCTTATGTACACAACACTTTGTGAGTATGGAATAGACCAAATCTATCTAGATTTTCTCGTAGAAATTATGGTTAAACTACATCTTTGTTTTCAGTTTCATATATATGAATCCGTGTTTGTATCAGGAAAATCAAAAAATATTTAACTCTTTTTATTTATTTATTCGGAATTTGCAATAAACCTAGTCAGCAAAAGTTTTTTTAGCCAAAGATGACATACTAATTCTTTCCTGTGAAATTTATTTTTAATTATATTAATGAAAAAAATGTATCTCTATGCAAGAATAGGCAAAGTAATAAAAAGGGCAGAGCGTTGGTACCTTCCTGTGCTTGCGGTTCTTACACAACTACGTGTAATTGTATAGGTTATTTTGGAATCTACTTGAAATCATACAATTCAATCGGATTAAACCTAATGTATGAAGTATTCATTTAATATTTCTATTTACTAGCGTAAGATTAATTATAATATTTAATTAAAATGTTATGTTATATTGTGTTGTATAATTTCGTTTTATAATTTATCTAGGGTGTATATTGTGCGTTCTATCCTGTCCGTCATATTTCTAACAGTATGTCAATATTTCTGTCGTCCTATTTCCGAAATTCGCATAACTTTCTATTATTTAATTCCGGACATCCGCAAATAATCGTTTTAAAAAAATTTGCCGGGATGGTACGAACGTGCAATAATACCCAGTACGTATTTTATCATTATTTAAATAAAAAAAATGTAATTAGTGTAATTGTTAATCTCAAAATAAACTAAAACAGTTTTCTTGTACCTACTGTTCTTTTTAATGAAATTAAATAACAATGTAGAATACGTTAGTCGCGGTCGAAGTTTCAACTGCATTGACATTACGTCTTTACCATGTCTTTCAAAAAAAAAAGGCATCATTGTCACGCAGCAGAATAAACGGGACGGTGCAGTGTTATACGAGACCGCAAATTCACACCTGGAATACCTACAGGTGTAAATAGCTTCATAAGTTGTTTTTCGTCCAGCATGTCCCGTAAAATGAGTAGGGCAACACTAGTAGTTTAACTGTATAGTTTCCGACGAGACTTAAATTACGAAAGTTTATTACATTCTTTGTAGCGAGTTAAAAGCAAAAAACCTACAACTATAAGTATTGTGCTTTGTCAAACAAATTAAAGCTGTTCTGTTGACATTAATATTCATTAACATTACGGCTTTCGAGGCGGTTTTATTACACTATAGAAATTAAGTTTTGTTTATTTGCTTATTGGTTGAACAGTAGTAATTGAGAATGGGGGTTTTGTTGGGCAATGGGGACTAGATAGTAATATGAGCGTTAGACATCAAACGTGCCCATATTTCTGTTTTATACGTGGCGAAAACACCTATAGAGGACAAGTATATCCGAACCTCGATCATCAAATGTCAATAACAAAATATATGACTAGTTTCACACTAGGCTATTCAATACTCTCTGAGGAGGATCCATCGTTCCGGAACGTGACGTTTGGAAAATATTGTTCTTATCTATTTCAGTCGCCCTGGACAAACGTATGAAATAAAACTACATTAAAGTTAAATGAACATATTTTCTGATTGTAACTTAATGTCTGCAGAATGTATGGGCACGTATAAGTTTGTTCAATAAGTGTAGTTTCAACTTGAATCGGAGAAAAGACACGTAAATGCTTAAATCATGAACATACATTCAAACACGAACGACAAACGTTATTTTTTATCCAAATGAGAAAATTTAACTTAATTATTTTCAAAATTAACCTATTTTCAGAAAACACTTTGTGTCTTGTAAATTATTTATAACATTTAAAAAAAATTGTCTGGTTTGTCTTGTACGGTCAATTACTAAGATGTCAAACAATGTTATTATGATAATATTTATAAATTTAATCGCATTCGCTAATATGTAACATATTTCTTAAGTGGCGTGTCCTTGTTTATAGCTATTTAATTGCGCTTTAGAGAAGTTACTTGGTATTATGATTATAAAATTTTAATATAAATAGCAAGTACCTACATAAGTGTTAATTGATGCAGTTCAAATATCACTTTATAATGAAAACTTTAAATATGATCTGAGTATTTTTGTTATGCCGATAATGGTACTTGTGTAAGAAAAATAAATAAAAGGGAAATTGTGTGTTTTAATTACATTTATAAATGTTTAGTTAGTAACGGAATCAAACAATGTGACCTCAGTTGCTCTCCACGCCAATTTTACATTGAACATCCTAATTTATTTTCCCTTCATTTCACTTTTCGTTCGGAAGTTAATAACAAGACTAGGTCATGTTAAGGGCTACTATCATTTTGCCGGTGCAATTTGACAAAATTGGTCCATTAGTGCTAAGAATAATTATTCATAGACAATAGATTGGTAAAATCTCAAAAGATGAGTGGAGTAGTAGTAGTGAAGACTTTTTAGCGAGATCGCAATGGACCAGTGTATTATTTTTAAGCTATTGCATAGCTTCTATCGCGGACTTTGAGTGCGGCGACTGAATCAAGAAATTCCGTAACGAAAATAACCTGACACCCCTACTATGCCTAATATGTAGCTCGCGGGGGGGAGTCGGTGATAAGTATTAGTGGGATGGGTTCTGCCAGTGAACCCATACCTAAAAAATGCTAATCTGCTTGCGTACGCCTGGGTGTGTGGAACCAGGCTATTAGGCGCGCACCGACAAGTGCTTCATATACGTCCTCGCCATCACATTTCATTGGTGATGGGCCCACATATCTACATCTTTGTGGGTCGTCCCCTCCGGAAATGCTATGTTCCAGTACGAGTTCCGCACATTTCATTTACCTCGGGAACATAGTAGCTAAATATGAAGTCCGAAAGCGAGGCTTCGGCGCTATAACCGAATAAGCTGGCTCGGGGAGTTAACCCTTAAAAAAAAAAACTAAACTACATGGAAGCAAGACTTAANTACTTTTTATGTTTTGGAAATGTATGTTTGTTAGTATCTATACATTACTTATTATTTTATTAGCGTTACGTTTTTGTGTAATATTTATTTTTAAGTTTTCGCGACCAGTGCACATAATAAAACAACGTTTAAACGGTTTCAAGCGCGGTATTTTTATAACAAAGTTTCGGCCACGTTTCAGTAGCCGTGAGCACGGAAGACAAAGATGTCCAGTGTCAATAAGCGGAGATCTTAGCTGGCTTATAAAAGTCATCTCTTGTTTCTCTGGCGACAATCGAGATCCATTCTGCACACGTGATTGCTAGGAAAGCTAAAATAAAAATGGAAAGCTAAGTATCTAATGAGAGTCCAACAAACAGACACAAAAGCAGCATTAAACAATTTTAACCAACTAATTTTGAAGTATTGCTAACAAATTTTAAAAAATTATTACAACACAAATCTACTCCATGTATTTACTGTTCTGTTAAGCAAAAGTTTGTCCATGAGTTGGCCGAGCCTTGGCCAACGTTTGTAGCGGTGGCTAAAAATCGGTAATTTTGTTCAAAATTTTATATTATTTATTAGTTTAAAGCCTAAAATATAGTTTATACTTCATGTACTTACCAAAAGTAAGATACTTCAGCCGTTAAATTGCTTTTTCGGGCATTATTTTTGCAACTTTTGAATACACACTGCGGCATTGTGAGACGGGTTGACATTGGCTGTGTTTGAAGTGAACTAAACAAAATAACAGCTCACATTTCAAGTGAGCTGTTATTTGACGAGACGGTTTTTCTGCACCGACCGTGTATCTAGTTACTATTGTTGATCGAAGGGGAAAACACCTATAGAGGACAAGTATATCCGAACCTCGATCATCAAATGTCAATAACAAAATATATGACTAGTTTCACACTAGGCTATTCAATACTCTCTGAGGAGGATCCATCGTTCCGGTACGTGACGTTTGGAAAATATTGTTCTTATCTATTTCAGTCGCCCTGGACGAACTTATGAAATAAAACTACATTAAAGTTAAATGAACATATTTTCTGATTGTAACTTAATGTCTGCAGAATGTATGGGCACGTATAAGTTTGTTCAATAAGTGTAGTTTCAACTCGAATCGGAGAAAAGACGCGTGAACGCTTAAATCATGAACATATATTCAAACACTAACGACGAACGTTATTTTTTATCCAAATGAGAAAATTGAACTTAATTATTTTCAAAATTAACCTATTTTCAGAAAACACTATCTTGTAAATGATTTATAACATTTAAAAAAAAATGTCTGGTTTGTCTTGTACGGTTAATTAACTAAGATGTCAAACAATGTTATTATGATAATATTTATAAATTTTATCACATTCGCTAATATGTAACATAATATTTCTTAAGTGGTGTGTCCTTGTTTATAGCTATTTAATTGCGCTTTAGAGAAGTTACTTGGTATTATAATTATAAAATTTTAATATCAATAGCAAGTACCTACATAAGTGTTAATTGATGCAGTTCAAATATCACTTTACAATGAAAACTTTAAATATGATCTGAGTATTTTTGTTATGCCGATACTGGTACTTGTGTAAGAAAAATAAATAAAAGGGAAATTGTGTGTTTTAATTACATTTATAAATGTTTAGTTAGTAACGGAATCAAACAATGTGACCTCAGTTGCTCTCCACGCCAATTTTACATTAAACATCCTAATTATTTTCCCTTCATTTCACTTTTCGTTCGGAAGTTAAAAACAAGACTAAAATGTTAAGGGCTACTATCATTTTGCCGGTGCAATTTGACAAAATTGGTCCATGAGGGTCAATTCCCACTGAAAGAGCAACGGCGCGCAGTGGCCGTAAGAGCAAGTGACTGAGCGCGGCGCCGCAAGGGGCAGTGTGGCGCCGCGCGGGGCAGTGCGGCGCCGCGAGAGGCAGTACGGCGCCGCGAGAGGCAGCGCGGCATCCCGAGGCGCCGCAATGAGCCTCCGCGTGGTAGCTTTGAAAACTAGTGTGCGATCTACTTCACTCAAGGAAAGTTGTGTGGCAATAAATATGGTGGATTTGGATTTATGTATCATAGCAATGGCTGTAGAAGAAGAACAAGAAGTAACAAACAAAACGGAAAGAAAAAGGAAAAGAAAATTTTTGGTACATGATTTATGGAAGAAAAGAAGAGAAGTTGGTGAATTTGAAACATTTTGTAAAAAATTAAATCAGTACATTACAAATTAAATTCTCTTCAATATTCATTGTTTTCTTTTTTCTCACGGAGCGTAGCACGTTTTAACTTGATACCCTTTAATAAAATGACGCGAAATGCGCAAGCGGCAGGGCGGGCGGGTATGAAAGTATGAAATGGTCGCTCGCGCGCAGCCGCGAGTCTGTCAGCTGCACCGCGGTCGGTCGCACGTCAGCTAGCTGCGCCGCGATCAGCCGCGCGGCGCCTCTTTTGACTAGTCGGTAGAAGGCTCGTGCAGCCTCGCGACGCCACGCTACCCCTCCTTTGCCTTCAAATTACTATGAACTTTTTAATCACGTAGATAAGATTCAAAATAGTTTGTAATATTTTGCCTCAAAAAGACGGTGCCGGCCGCTGCTCTTTCAGTGGTCAAGAATAATTATTCATAGACAATAGATTGGTAAAATCTCAAAAGATGAGTGGAGTAGTAGTAGTGCAGACTTTTTAGCGAGATCGCAATGGACCAGTGTATTATTTTTAAGCTATTGCATAGATTCTATCGCGGGCTTTGAGTGCGGCAGAAATTCCGTAACGAAAATAACCTGACACCCCTACTACGCCTAATATGAAGCTCGCGTTCAACACATTCACACGTTGCGCTGGTGTAGTGTTTGTGAATAAGCGTGCGACGTGACGTCGCACTGCATGAGCATCATCAAAAGTCTGCCCATCTCTCTCTCTCACGCGGTCTAGCTTATGAATGTGAAGGGGACAGTTAATGTTTTGCTTTTGTTAATGTTTATAAATATAGCCTGGTCTTATTTTTATTATTGTCTAATTGTAATTGCATAAGTTGATACAGGTAGTTTTCCAATTACAGCACAAGAGCGCATTATGCGGCATAAAGCTCAACTAAGCTTCAGCATAATTCGGCATTGTGCGTCATGAGTCGCATTATGCTCTGTAATTGAAAAACTAACTGAGTTGAGCATTATGCCGCATAATGTGCTCTTGTGCTGTAATTGGAAAACTACCACAAAATGCTTTGCAATAGCTTTACCGCGGCAGTCTCCGAGTGCCACACGACTTTTTTTATCTATGCAATGGACCATAATACAGGAAAGGATCGATACCATTGATTCGATTCGATATGATTCTTTGGGTCGCTCCAGGATCAGATCAAGTGTTTCTTTATAAATAAAACAAGTTTTTAATAGAATTAAAATACAATTTCTTTATAGTGTGGTTTATTTGTATACATTTGGCCAAATTTGTTGTAAGCGCTCATACACACGAACGGCATGTTGTTAACGGCACAGATAACTGCAGCCGTCGACATTCCAACTGTGAAGATCAGCGGCAGCCGTCGTCAGCTTACTTAGTATAGGACTTTGGGAGTCAGTCAAGCAATTTTCTCGATGGCCATAATTAACAATTCAACATCAATTTCGTCACTAGAAATCATTTTACATATTCCCGACGCATACACAATCTTGAACTATACAGTCGACTGACAAAATGGCGGACGCGACATCGACAGTACGCTACATTGCAAATGACGCTATAGGTCGACGGCTGCATTTGTCTGCGCCGTTGACAACATGCCGTTCGTGTGCATGAGCACTCAGAATCGTAACTTTCATGATTAAAATTCATCTACTAATTTGTGAAAAAAACCCTATTTAACAATAATTAACTTTTTTGGGGAGCCATAAGTATCATCATAGATACTACCTACACTTAATATTATACGAGAGATATCATCAAAATAATTAATATAAAATGTTGGTGAATCAAAAGAGCAAATACACACAGTCCATGCGGAAATGAAAGGCATATTGAAATTTTAGATGCTTAACAAGTGATTGAAAAATCTGTCGCTAGAGAAATATTTATATTAATATAATATGAACCTGTTCGTAGTAGACCATACTTAAGGAATGCAGTATGAAAGTTGCAAATAAATATTACTGATAAATGTTGTGAAACTTTTTTAGAATTTAATAAAAACTGATCAGATTCAGATCCTTATTACACATGTATCGATTTACTATAACGATTATCGTATAGAAAGTCATTGTATCGATACAAAAGTCTCGTATTCCTTTGTATCGATCCACAAAAGTATCGGATTTGATCGAACAACTCTAATTTATGTTTATTTGTTTACCTTACAAAATTTTTCTCTGATAATACTTACCCCAGTCTTTAATAGACCTGAAATTTTCTAAAAAAAAAAATTTAAAATACAAACGCCACGGAAACATATATTATTATATATTAGTTCACAAGAACTTAAATATTGCTCAACAAAAATATCAAAAGAAAAATTACATTGATCAATCAGTATGGACATTGATTTTAATCACATAGAAAGAGATCTGCTAGACGATACTACAGATTCGTCAGTAAAACTGGAATTTAAAGAAGAAGACGACGATGAGCGATATACTATGTAAGTCATTAATATTGACCCTAGTTATATTAAAATTACACTAGGGTCAGATTGAGATTCAAATGATGAATTGCAAATAATGGCCCATCGATTTACAATCTACCAGGTCGGCCTAAATGAAAATAACAGTCTGTCCAGGCAGTAAACAGAAGATATATATTAGGGCTTTCTTGACCAACCTTGTCAAAATTTCCTCATTAATAAAAAAAAAAAAGGAAAAGTATTCATATAATTTAAATGTAAATATCTCTATAATTCATTTTTTAAATACTGTTACTATTGTTGTGGAGCATCTCATCGCCCTGAAGGTGTTCAATATACTATAATGATTAATTCTGCTTTGAAGCAATAATCGGACCAGTTTGAAACATGAGATATTATGAAATGGAGAACAGAAATCTTATTAAATGAGAGAATGTACAGTTATACCCTGCTGCTGCATTTGTTGTTTTTGTCAATTTGTAGTACTTCCCATAAGCACTAACCAGAATAAATGGTCCTAGCTTGAGAAAAAGTCTACATTCTCATTCTAAGCAACAACAATATTCTTTGTTATTTCACAGTGAGACAAGAACAAAGGTAATTAGACATATCAATATATTTAAAAAAAATACTGTAAGCTCAAAACATTACATTACACAAACATGACATTACATTAAGGGACATTTAAATGGTGTTTAGTTGTAAGTTTAGAGTTTATATAGTTTAAGTTCACTGTTTGTCTTCCTAATAAAATAAAATAAAATAAAATAAAAATTATCCATAAAACTAATAAGACCATTGATTGTTGAAAATAATTTAACAACATAAACATATTTCAGGGATCTTCTTCGGCTTGCAACTTGTGTAGAATCAAATACAGATCCAATTGAATTCAACTCCACCGATGCAATAACGGATCCCAAAACTGGAAAAATGGTTTGCCTTCATTGCTTAGGTGAAATTGATTCAAGTTCCATTAATGCTCACATGGTTAATGTTCACAATTATAGAAAAATTCTTTTCAAATGTCACATCTGTCAGACAGTTTTTCAAGAACGCAAACTTTTACAAGTCCATAGAGAAGAATGTCGTCCTCTGCTAAAAACTACTAAGAAAAAATCAATGGGACAAATAATGAAAGAAGTGGACAAGATATTAAAGAATCCTGAAAATCTATTAGATACTGTAGCTTGTCCGGTTTGTGTTGTGGAAGTGCCAAAATTTTCACTGCGGGAACATGTGGATATAGAACATAGGAAGCCTGAAATTAATTTAACATGTCAGATTTGTAACAGAACCTTCAAGTCAAAGCTTACTCTAAAAGAGCATATTAAATTAGTGCATGAAGCTGTTGAAGATTCTGAGCAGTGTGAACTCTGCGGGCAAAAGTTTAGATCTCTTAAATATTTAGCCAACCATAAAAGAAATGTGCACCCGAGTGGTGAGTTAACAAAATCAATTCCTACCTAATCAATCAGTACTAAAAACTATCTAATTTTGCTTGGATCTAGTGCATATTTCATAACAAAGTTAAAATTATTAAAATATATCAACATATAGTGGACTTCCAGTAATCTGACAAACATTTTGCAGGGTGGTATCAGACTTGGAATTTGACGAATTGTAGGATACCCTCCATATTCTGCAATTTTTGAAAAAAGAAGACTATAATCACCCAAATTACAAATCAAAGATTTTACTGTAACTACAAATCATAAATAAAAAATAGTTTTGCACTATCCATTGCACAGCACTAGATTTCCAAATCTTGAGAACTTAACTGTGTTTCAGTAGCAACATGCTTGATTACTTCCGAAGTCGGTAACACTGATCTCGCCCTAGCAAGATCAAGAATCTTAACTGATGAGATTATCTATTTTTGATTTACAATNACAAATCAAAGATTTTACTGTAACTACAAATCATAAATAAAAAATAGTTTTGCACTATCCATTGCACAGCACTAGATTTCCAAATCTTGAGAACTTAACTGTGTTTCAGTAGCAACATGCTTGATTACTTCCGAAGTCGGTAACACTGATCTCGCCCTAGCAAGATCAAGAATCTTAACTGATGAGATTATCTATTTTTGATTTACAATCAGTGATAGTCATGTCGGATTACAAGGGCTCTGTATTCTAAGTGTATCTTTATGGATTATAGAGAGGCAGAGTTAGTGGGGGTCAACTGTAGAAAATTGTCAATGTGTTTCAGGTTATTTTTTTTCATTTGCAGAAATTTAGAAACCAAGATAAATGATTAATTTCAGATGACCTCTACAGTACCTATATCATACAATATATTTGTTTTTATTTCAGGTGACAAAATTCACAAGTGTACTGTTTGTGGCAAAGAGTTTAAAAGTCGTCTTTGTGTTCACCAACATATGAAGCATGTTCACCCTCCAGAGAGTGCAACTGTAGTATGTCCTCACTGCCCTAACAAGATTTTTAAATCAAGCATTAATTTACATCAACACTTAAAAGTGGCACATGGGATGAAGAAGAAACCTAAAATATAATAATGTGTTGATGTTGTCAGAATGATTTGCTATAATAATATGTAACTATTATTTAGTATGTATGTAAATAACATTTTAGGGTTGATAAAAAATAAAACGAGAGCTCAAATATTATAAAAATGTAATTATTGTTATGTTGAGAGATATTCTAATATAAATGAGAATTGTCTATTTTATACTAAAATTACTTTGAAAGTTTTTTATTTTTATTGCTTAGATGGGTGGACGAGCCAACAGCCCACCTGGTGTTAAGTGGTTACTGGGGCCCATGGACTTCTACAACGTAAATTCGCCACCCACCTTGAGATATAAGTTCTAAGATCTCAGTATAGTTACAACGGCTGCCCCACCCTTCAAACCGAAACGCATTACTGCTTCACGGCATAAATAGGCAGGGCGGTGGTACCTACCCGCGCGGACTCACAAGAGGTCCTACCACCAGTAATCTTAGTCAGTCAACCAGTTAACCTAGTTCAACTACTAGAGGTAAAGGATTAACCCACACTCGAGCCGCCCAGTAGTGTTTCTCGCCAGATGTTCTTAGTGGTCCGCGATTCCGATCCGATAGTAAATAATCGTGCGAAACACTACTCTTGCTAGTACTAGTGTTAGAAAATTCTCTCAGGTTGAGCCCGTGAGATTACTGAAACTTCCGGGCGTAGCTGGAATAGCCCCATAAGCTACCAGCTAATAGGTAGAAAAAATTAAATGAGCTAAGAAATGAGTATGTACCTATTATTTGATCAATGCACAAATCAGGCAAAACTTTCTCTCTGATCTCTAAAAACGATAGGCAGGTGTAAATGTAAGAAATATATTAAAAACACAAAATCAATGCTTGGGGAATACCAAAATTGCCTTTGGATTTTCCAAAAAATAAAAATAATACCGTAAATCGCGGTGAATAGAGACACGTTCCAACTATGGGCACTTTAAGACTTTTTCGTACCTATTGCTAGCCTACTCTTCTATTACTATCTAATAAATTGAAGCAAGCAAAGTTTCTAACACTAAAATTATGAGCACCTTAAGAAAATAGAAACTAGGTACTTTCAATTGCGATTTTTTTAATAGTTAATGTGGTGCATATTAATTGCTGCCATGTGCTTAATATTTACTAAGAGATTTTCTAATTCTGTTTGTTAATCGAAAAAAATAATATTTTGCGAAGCAATGATAATTATAAGGTTAAATCAATATTCATCTTGTCTTTGTTTACCTTTAATCAGATTAAAACCAAACTATATGTATTGCTTCAAATAAAACAATTTTTTTTATTCATGAAATTTCATAATTGGCAATTCTTTTTATTGTTATTTTATTACTTAGACCTGACTTAGACACGTGAATTAAAAGGGGTCACTGTTGTTATGTTGTTACTAGAGCCCACCAAAACCTGAATACCGTTATCCACCTTGACACATGCGGTCTAAGTTAAAATTGTGTACTGAAAGCGGTTGCTCGCCCCACCCTTAATTACTGCTTTATGGCAGGGTGGTGCCCATGCAGGCTGAAAATATGCCTTACAGCCACTAAAAAAACTATAAGTATTATGGATTTAAAATATTTCTTACTAAGACTACTATTCAGTGATCATAGTAGTAAGGATGTAAGATGAAACAACCACTCGTTTACTCTAACTCGTTTATATTTATATGCTTTTGTATTCATAACAAAACTCTTCAGGCATAGATTAAAAAAAACCCTTAATCACAAATACAACGTAACATAAACTTAACATTTGAAGAGCGCGTTAGCAAAAGAAGCATCCGTTCACTCAAACTGAAGGTTTTTAACCTAGTGAAAAGCAAAATGGCGACCTGTCAGTAAGGCTAATTACATCTGTCTATACTCCTTCATCGAAAAAGCGGCTGACACGATAACCTAACGTAGTCGTCGCGAATTACATACCCAATCCAAACCACCGAATAACATACAGCCCCCGTCGCCCCAAACAAGTCTTTTCGGATCCTCCCAAACCACTCTCAGCTCTTTTGGGCATTCCAAGCACCGGTTGCGGTTCTTGTCGAACCCGTTAAAAGGTTCGATGCAGTGGCGTAGCTAGGGCCGTTTTCCAATTACAGCACAAGAGCGCATTATGCGGCATAATGCTCAACTGCTCTGTAATTGGAAAACTACTATTAAGTACATACAGGTAGTTTTCCAATTACAGAGCATAATGCGACTCAGTGACGCACAATGCCGAATTATGCTGAAGCTTAGTTGAGCATTATGCCGCATAATGCGCTTTTGTGCTGTAATTGGAAAACGGCTTAGGTAACCAAGGGCCCTGGGGCAAATTAAAAAATAGGGCCCCACTGCTATGTAAGTATAAATATAAAAATATGAAATACTTTAAAAATGCTAAGCTACAGCTCTTTTCTGTGCACTGCAGGGTAGGTAATAAAAAATATTAAACAGTAACAACACAAATTACAATTAATACTTGGTGTAGGTTTGGCTAATAAAACGAAATAGAGAAGAATCAAGGGTTTATTAAATAAAGGTCGGGCTTTTTTTTTCCGGGCTGGGGGCCGAACCTCTTACAAGGTCCCCGCGCCTAGGGTGCGCGCGGGTATGTGGGACTGGTCCACGATTGCGAAACCGCGGGTCCAAGAATATTTTCAGGGCCCTACCGCACTAAGCAACTCCCCTGCACTCTTCGCCCAAGCGTCCGATCCCCTCTGAGGTCAAAACATGGATGAGGTAAGGGTTACTGCGGTGAACACTACAACCAGACGGTGCAGCTCACCTCAAGGATTCCCGGCCGACGGAGCCTTCGAGGCTTAACTCGAATTCACAATAAAACGCACATCGTAGAATAATAAAACGCACATATCACTATCCGTCAAATTGACAACACTGCCAACCTACAGTAAGAATTTAGGGGAAT